GGTTCTGTTCGGATCAAAACCGAAGAGGAAGATGTGTGACGCGAACGGGGATGGCTTCTAGCGTTACGCTTTAAAGCTTTATGTTGCCTTAAAGTATTGTTTGGTAGCCAGTAGCGTGCGCTGGCTCCACTGTAAGCAGTTCCTCAGCTCTACATAACCCCAAATTACTGAAGTATTCCACTAGTTGTAATCAAATGTCACCATCGCCCAAATGCACCGTATTTTTAACAATCAGCGTTAGGAGGAAGCAAAAATCTGGTTTTGTGCTGGCTGCAGTCAGACTAAGGGTCAGGAAAATCACGATTCCATGATTTGTTTCTGTTAAAGAATAATAAAATTTGCACCCCCTCCAGTCTGGGATGTTTTTGTTCTTCCAGAGATTTACTGCTCACTCGGTACATCTTTAATAATTAAATGTCATGGAACCTTGGAGTTCAAGTGTAACTTCAGCTGATGCAATACCTACCTTGGTTATAAATTCTTGAGTAGTCTTGATTGGTTCGCTTGATTTGTCACGACAAGACTGGGTCTACGAGGAATTGTAAGACAAGTTTAAAGACAAAAGTCAACTGCATTTTCCTTCGCAAAATAACAGGACTTGTACAAAACGTACCTAAAGCAACAATCATAACCCTTCTACTAACAGACCAAGAAAAAGTTGAACCTATCGGATCTTTCCCTTCTTAATAGCTTTCAGTTTCACTTTGATCAAATTACTTCAACAAAAGTGACGTAAGTGCTTCCAGAAATAGCTCCCGGGAGGGGAGGGGGAGGGTACTTCCTTATAAGAGGCTGATATGGGACGTGCCGCTGGATGGGGTCACATTTTCACGACTGGATTGACTATAATGGGGTCGCATTTTCAATAGAGTTACTAGAATGGGATCGCACATTTTAGGATTTTTTGGGGGTAAGACAGTTCTTCATATTTACGGTTAGCAAACGTACCATTAAATTCAGAAAATACCGAGTAATAAAGCCAGTGGTCTTGATAACATCTCAGCACGTCTCCTGAAAGAAGCGTCTCCCATAGTTACTCGCAGTCTAACTTTTATAATAAATCAGTCAATTACCACTGCAATATTTCCAAATGCTTGGAAACGAGCTAGAGTTTCGCCAATATTTAAAGAAGACCTCGGGACTGATCCTAACAACTACAGACCTATCTCAGTTCTGCCTGTAGTAAGTAAATTAATTGAAAGAGTTGTTTTTAATCAATTATATGAATATTTAAGTAATAATAACTTGTTAACTGAATCACAATCTGGCTTCAGACCTATGTTTTCCACTGAAACAGCTTTACTTGAGGCTACGAATGAATGGCTATGGAATATTGACAACAGTCTCTTAAATGGTGTGATATTCCTGGACTTGAAAAAAGCTTTTGATACCATGGATCATGCTATCCTTCTGGGAAAGTTTAAACTCTATGGGGTCAGTTCTCAATCTCTTAACTGCATGGTTCAAGTCCTATCTATCTGACCGAAAGCAACAAACGTTCATTAATGGAGTTCAATCTGATTTCTGTAATATAACATGTGGTATTCCACAGGGGTCTATTTTAGGCCCTCTCTTATTCACTATTTATATTAATGGTCTCCCTTCATGTAATTTGTTTTCAAAACCCAGAATGTATGCAGATGATACTACCCTTAGCACATCTGCAGAAGACCTATGTGTCCTTGAACATAAAATGAATTATGATATGAATTTAATGCAGTCATGGCTGTCAGCAAACAAATTAACTTTAAATGTTAAGAAGACTAAATACATGCTTATAGGGAGCCAATTTAAGTTATCCCAAATAAATAGTGACTTCACAGTCAAAGTCAATAATACACCCTTAGAAAGAGTAATTAAACATAAATCCCTTGGAGTTCAAATTGATGAATCTTTGAACTGGCGCCCACACATTCATACCATTTCAAAGAAAATATCCGCTGGTATTGCTATCTTAACGCGTGTAAGTAATTTTATACCATTTGATACTAGAGTGAATGTGTACAATACACTGGTAATGCCATATTTTAATTACTGTGGTGCCGTATGGGGTAATATCAATAAGAGACTAGCAGACAAACTTCAAAAGCTGCAGAATAGGGCTGCCAGAATTCTCACCTTTTCTAACTATGATGTTCGCTCAAGTGTTTTGTTGGATGAGCTTAACTGGGAAAGGCTAGAATATGTAAGACTTAAACAGTTGGCTGTGACAATGTACAAAATCCATAATAATCTTTCCCCATCGTATCTGAGGCAGATCTTTACCAACACCTCAAATGTACATTCATACAATCTTAGAAATTCTGAGTTAAATTATTATGTCCCCAGACCCAGAAGTGAGTCTGCAAAAGGGAGCCTACACTACAGAGGATCTGTTCTGTGGAACAAGATTCCCTCAGAGATTAGAAAACTGCCTAGTTTAAATGTTTTTAAAACTTCAATTCATGGGAAAGATTTTTCTAATACACCATGACCCATTGTAACTCTTATTATTCATAATGTAAGTTTTTGTATTTTCAACATTATAGTCAATAGTTCCTTAGAGTATTTTAGTCTAGTTTTAAACACGATTCCTAGGAAGACCATGTAAAATGATACGATTTCGTGTATAAATAAAGATTGATGATGATGATGATGATGTAGATGAAAAGTAAAGTGTTCTTCGTTCAATCTAAAAAATGGGTCAATTCGTAAAAATAGAAAGTGACTAAGTTGGGATCGCAAAAAATACACATTTGCCTAAAAGTGACTAGAATGGTGTCTATAATTGCCCACAGAATAGACTATAATGGGGTAGGGAATCTGAGAGAGGCCGGCGGCACAAATCCAGCAAAAATTAACCCAAGTACTCCCCCGGGAAATAGCTACCCTCCAAAAGGAGGCCATCAAGGAAAATTTGAAAACTAATTATAAAGCATCTGAGGGGTGATATTAAATCTAATATACAGTTATTTAATATTTGTCTCACAAAAGATCATCTTTATCCACGCCTGTACGCAAGGGAGGGGCACTCCACCACGGACACCTTGAATTATATCCTACAGGCGATTCACGAGGCAACTGATAGTGGGAATTGTGGGGCTAGAATGTTCTTTGCCGATTACTCAAAGGGTTTTGACCTGATTGACCATTCAATTCTTCTCAGGGACTTGGCGTTTTTTGATATAGACACTATCTTAATTAACTGGATTAGGGCCTTCCTGATTGGGAGATCGCAAGCTGTAAGGATTGCAAACTCCCTGTCTGATTGGAAGTCACCCAGAGGAGGTATCCCGCAAGGGACGAAACCGGGTGTGGTTAACTTCATGCAAAACGATAATTTTACTACAAGACCAATTGTCCTAGGTAACAACACAGTTGAATGTGTAACAACTTATAAATTACTCGGTATTATTATCAGTAATGATTTAAAGTGGCACGAGCATATTGATTACATTTCGAAAAAAGCTTCGAAACGCCTGTATTCCCTGAAGATTCTTTAAAAAGTGGGTGTTAATAGAGAGGGTATTCTCAAAGTTTCCTTGAAAACAATAAGACCTATACTAGAATATGGCGTACAAGTCCGGCAAGATATTCCTGACTTTCTTTCAAATAAGCTGGAGTCAATTCAAAAAAGGGCACTATATATTATCTATCCATGCCATAGTTACTTAGATGCCCTTAACACTACTAACCTTAGCAGCTTTGAAAGAAAGACAAACTCAGCTCTGCTGTAAATATATTCAAAAGATGACTCAAAATGACCACCCCATTAACTTCCTCAAGCCGAGAACAGCAACTAGTGGTCACAGTTACAACTTGCGGGCCAGCAACAACAATAGAGATATTCTTTACCAAGAGAGAGTAAGTCTTTACGCCGATAGGAGTTGTTGCCGGACCCAGCGATCAGGTTCCTTTATTTCATTCGCTAGTAAATATGTAGATAGTTATTTAAGATATTTTTATTGTTTCTGTGGTAGTAATAGTGTTAATTATTTGTTGATTGTAAATTTATAGCCCTTTAATTCAGTTAATTCTGCAAGGTGGCAAATAAATGGTATATTTATTTATTTAAACAAACGATTAACGTCAAAAAATTTAATGTGTAATTTTTTGCCCGTGCCAGAAAAGAATACCTTTCATTCCTCAAATTCAGATTTTTAATATCTTCTCCGTCATCTTCTCTTGAATTTATATCATGTATATTTTATCTATGCATGGGGCAACTGTCTACAGACCTACTTCATTAAGCTACTTCCAGTGCAAAAATGTGCACTGCGCATTTAAAGTAGTGAGGCTTTTAAGCCTCACTACTTTAAAGCTGATTGATCATATTTTCAAATGTTTAAAAATGAAATACTGTAGATCCTCTATTAAGCCCCTTGGTGGGGGCTTATTTATTTCAAGCCCAGTTGTTAAGGCACCCCGGATAAGTCCACACGATTTTTTACAGTTGTGATTGATTAATACAGTCTATCATTAATTTTATTAGTGAAGAATAATTAGGGGACGGGAGCGGGGGCTTATTAACTTTCTTTCCTTGAGAAGTGAAGTGTAGTTCTAATTTTTTAGTCTTAACACAAATCCTATGTTCTATGTTCTGATCACTCAAATGATAGCTAATGAGCAAAACTTTCCTGTGGTACTGTTTATTAGTGATGGTTCTAACATTACTTTGTGTGTATCCCTCCCTTATCAGATCTTGTATAATTTGTGCATCCCTTAGTCGATATATCGGTCGACATATCAACCGATTTATCGGCCGATGTATCGTCCGATATCGGTTGATATGTCAACTGACATATCTCGGTCGATATATCAGCCAATGCATCGGTTGAGTGTTGGCTGATATGTCAACTGATACCGTAAAATTCCGGAAATAAGCCCCGGGCCTATATTTTTCAAAGGCCCTTTTTGAGGGGCTTATTTTTGGAGGGGCCTATATTCAGAGGGGCTTCTCTATGGAGGGAAATTTGCCTTTACAAATCGATTGGACTAGCCTTATAGTTCGAAGTAAATTTACCGTTTTTGCTTTGTTTTACTTTGTATTTGAGGGCAATTTTCTAAGTAAAAGCTCCCAGGGGGGCTTATATTTGGAGGGGCGATTTAACGGAGGGTTTTTTGCGTCACCGGTTGGGGGGCTTATATTTGGAATTTTACGGTATATCGACTGAGGGGTGCACAAATTACACAAGATCCAATCCTTTATTGAACAAATTATAATTTCACATGATACTATTTGTCTCCCAGCTTTCACAAAGTAAAATGCCGTAATTTTCTCAAATTGTGACTTGAAGCACCCTATACTTTCACCTTCCATTCAACACAAGAGATTTAATTTTCATAAAGAAACACCTTGTTATGGAATCTGCCCCATTATTTGGTATTTTATTTCCAATTTCTTTTCTAATCCTGCACCTTTATAAAAATTGCTAAGTAGCAGTAAACATGAATAGACTTTATAAACTGCTAATATTTTTTTCAACAATGCAAAAACTTTACAGTCAATCAATATATTAATGCCTGCAAAAAGAAACATTAATAATATTGTATGGTTGGCTCTGGCATCTTGTCTGTTCCACCTTTATCCATCTCTCTTTTTAGCATATCACTATCCTTCAAAACTCTGGCCATGGTCTGTTTCAACAGAATTAGTTGGCAGGCCTTTTGAACAAAAGCACATGTGGCTCTGTGAAGGAAAAAGGAAAAAAAAGGGTTCATAAAAGAAATTGTAATGATGTTTTAAGGACTTTTCAAGGACCACATTCCATTTTCAAGGATCGCCTACCAGGAATGTAAGGCTGCGTGCAAACGGACGCAACAACTCCCAACATTGTTGCGCCAACAATGTTGGGAGTTGTTGCGTGCGTGTTGGCAGTGGTGTGCAAACAGATGCAACAACTCCCAACAATGCTGGGATCTGCAGTGCATCATGGGAAGGATACAGCCCATAAATCTTTGTAAACCATGCGTAATAAGCATGCGTGGCTCCAACAATGTTGGACGAGCTTTGCAAATGGATTCAACATTGTTGTGCTACTTTTCGGCGATCACAGAACAAAAGAAATGTTGAGAGTTGTTGGCTGAAAAGTTTGACCGGTTTCAAACTTTGCGCAACAACACGCAACAACATCCAACAACATGCAACAGGGTGTGCAAACGGACGCAACATGTAACATCCAACAATGTTGGGAGTTGTTGGCCAACACTGTTGAGTCCGTTTGCACGGGGCTTAATTCCACAGATTGAACAAAAATGCACATTACCAGTCTATTCTAACAGGACCTTAAGGCTCGAACTGTTTGCTCCACCAACTTTTCTACGTTTTACAGTTCCCTTGTCTTAAATTGATAATTAATTCTTGCATAAAACAAAAAAACGCTTTATGTAAAATCACAATTACCTTCTCTGAGCTATGATTTATATACTTACATGTATATTGGACAAGCAAAAAGCATTAAAAAATACTTTCCAGGCCACTAAATAAGTTGAGGAAAATTAAAGGACTTTTCAAGGACAGGGTGTCCAGCGGTATTGTTGCTCAAAAAAATACGAAAATAGGAAACTCAGGATTGAGAAAATAGGAAAAATCAGAAACTTTGTACTAAAAAAATAGGGGAAAAATGGGAAAATCAATAGTACTTTCGTCAACAAAGATAGCCTCCCTGCACCTCATCAGGGTTATAATAAAAGCTAAGAGTTCTCAGCGTCTATGTTCGCAGGATTTTGATCAATGAAGGAGTGAAAATGATCAGGAATGTTTAGTTTATTGGCTCAGTTATGCTGTAATCAGAATGATATGTTCGACTACAAGTCGAGTGTAGTTCTATAATCAAAGGTGATCATATGCAAATTCCCTTCAAATTGGCGGCCAATCTTTGAAAAGCTTCGAAGAGTGAAATTTCGTAGGATAGAAATTTCATACGATTGCATTGTTATTGAAGGATATCAAACTAGGACTTCAAAGTCCTAAGGAAAGCTTTCTTTCCATTAATCTGAAATCGGTAGCTGGTCAAGAATATGCTTGTTTGAGTCACAAGAACACTTACCATAAAATTCTGGAAATAAGCCCCTCCATGTATAAGCCCCCCAAACTCATAGGCAAACAACCTTCTGTTAAATTGCCCCTCCTCTAATATAAGCCCACACCCCCTCCCCCCCTCCCCGGGGCTTGTCCTTGGAAATTTCCCTCAAATACAAGGTAAAACAAAAACAAACAAAAAGAAAAACGGTAAATTCCTTCCAAGAATAAGGCTAGCCCAATCAATTTTGAAACGGGGGCCTCTTTACAGGCACCCCTTCAGTTGACTAAAGTTAAATACCCTTGTGACACAATTAACTACTGTGGATCCTTTATTCAGGGGACACCCTCGTGACCAAACCAAGTGTCTCCTGAATGGGGGTTGGGCTGGGGTTTGTTAATAATTAACCAAAAAATGAAATATATGTCTTTTATTTTACCTCAGAATCTATGCGACAGCTAGATAATGTGTAAAAAACAGGTTGCAAAGAAAATCATTTATAAAGCTTGCCATTTGGGCAAGCTGAAGCTAGCATTTACTAGCCCAGACGTCATTTCAGTTAGCCCCAGAAGCTTTTTGAAGAGCGGAATTGATCTCACAGTTCTTCTGTTATTTGAATTCCTCAAAAAAGATCACTTGCCTGTCGGGCAAGTTAAAAACAGAATTCACTAGCCTGATAGCAAAATCCACTAGCCCCGGGCTATCGGACACCACTTTCTTTGCACGTTGAAAAAATGATTAACTTATCTCTGCCATGTTGTGTGTTGAATTCCCAAAAGTGCAGTACATAGATTTTAAGTGAGATACCGGTAGTTCATGTTTTGAAAGCTGTGGCCATTGTGACTAGTCAACATTTAATCTTATCAACGATTTTTGTGATCAGTCACCTTTTGATTGCTAAGATGTCCCCTGAGTGGAGGTTGAATCTGGGTTTAGGGACCCAGAAACAGTGTCCCTTTCCCCTGAATAGAGGTGTCCCAAGAACAGAGGTAACAAATACAAAGATTATATGAACATTTTTTTCAGGACCAAATTTTGAGGAGGTGTCCCTTGAACAGAGGTGTCCCAAAGAAGAGGTTCCAGTGTACCATCAACAAGTGACAACAATGCAAAGTTGACTTTGTTCTTTACCTGGTGCATGGATTAAATAATGAATCCATCCTGGAGACTGCTGCACTCCAAGGTTACGCCACTCGCTTTCTGTCATCAAGTGGGTCTTGGGAACAAGTTCAGCCAGCTCTTTGGGAAGGATCACATGTCTTGGAGAAGAAACACAGATTTCAAACAGTGCTGTGCACAGCTACTATTTAAAGAACGAAGACACACTTTTGTTTGCCATTTTGTCATTTCAATGTCATGTTTCTCTTACTTTTATGACAAAAGTCATACAGACATTGCAAATTAGTCACTCTGAAGTCAATTTGTGCACTGTGCTAATATGCTTCTTGAGATTAAAATACCAAATTACAGGAGCTTCGTCATCTTAGCGTTCTACTACCCAGTCAGAGTCATTAAGTATATGTTGGTTTCTATAGATAATCCCAATAAGCGCTCTACTGTGCTTGTTGCAAGTGAGTATTTTGATCTACAGTTTTTCTAAATTGGTTGGAGAACATTGTTTGACCCACTTTCCCCTTGAGATTTTGTAGAAAAAAAAACATGTTTTGAAGCTAGTCAAGCCGGTTTCTGGTCATTGTTTAGCTATAAAAAGCTGACACTTAACACAAAGCTGTTAACGGGTCATACACTTCCAGCCTTCTGATCCAGCAGCAAAACTTTAGCTTCCAAAATTTTCCTCTGTCCAGAGACATCTTTCGTGCCTTTTTATCAAAAATTTGAAAAAGACAGGAACTACAAAGAACTGCTTTCTCTATTTTCTTTTGTCTTTTTTCTCTTTTCCCCCCCCCCCTACCTTGCACTTGCCGTCGATAAATCCTGCATGGTTTTTATTTCCATACATGTGTGTTTGAGGATCTCTAAAGAAAAACTAGAGGGTCTGTGAATAGGCTACCAAAGTTTGGGCATGCACAGAAAGCAGAATTTCACGTTAGTTTTTGGGTTTAAAAATGACTTGGCAGTCTTGACTTTTCTCCTCCCATCTTCTTTCACTTTTCTTGCCTCATTGTTTTTCTTTTGCTGTGCATCTGGCTTCATTTTGTTGGGAAAAGATATTTAGGAAAGCTTTCATGATCTTGTGATTACATTGTACATAGCCTGTTCCAGGCTCTCAGATAGTGGGGAAGACAAGAAAGAAAAAGACACGCGAAAAGTTGGTGGGGCGAAAAAGAGGAAAAGGAAAAAGCATCTGCTCTCCCCAGTTTCCTCCCGTTTTATTTTCGTGTTCGCGCTTTCTCAATTCAGCGGACCCGACTATCTCAGAGCCTGGAACAGGCTACATTGTACCATGAAAGGAAAGGTAGATGGATCGTGGAACAAGATTTTCATGGGAATTTTCAGGTCAACATGACATGGTTTTTTCCTTTTTCTCTGGCCTCTTTGACTGAATCATACTCATTCTAAAACTGATGACATCACAAGGAGTAGAAGGGAGTTGGATCGACATGGAGGGGGGGGGGGAGGCACGGGTGGTTTAGGAGGGAATGTAGAAACACCCTTAAACCTTATCTATTGCCACCAATTTTTTCTCCTTTTTTTTATTAAAATGTGCTGAAGAACCCTGAAAAGGGACTCTTTACAGTCTTATTTTCTTCACCTCCAACATCAAACACTCGCACCCAGCTTTGCAATCGTGCAAACAGGATCCGGTTTAGGACAAAAAATTCTAGACATTTTTGTGCTTGAAACAGCAAGGGTGAATGGAACAGACATTTCTGAAAGTCTCCGTCCAACGGTAACCAAGAAAAATATCCTCCTTGTGAAGGTCGAATTTCTACGTTTTCTCACACGTATCGAACCTCAAGAAGGTAAGGTTAACCAAACACAGTTCAGTCTAAGCCTATTTAGTTTTTAACCCTCTCGCATTCATGCTTTTTTCGCTAAAAGTTTGCGCAGTGCAGTAAGCAGCTGGTAAGCTTCATATGCTTGCAAAAGCTTTCAAAACATCAATCTAAACAGATCCAGAAAAACCTTACATCAAAGCAAGCTGCACATCGAGGAAAAGCACTTACCTATACTCGAATTTATCATCTGAGTACTTCTCAGAATAACTAATTTGAGAAACAGGCATGTCTTCTCCCTAGCTTTCCGTATCAATGCGATGTATCTACAAGTACAGCCTTCCACGACGCGTTCACTACTGAAATGGCGGTCACTGCTGCTGTTTCTTCTAGCGAGGTTCCCAAGCTGTGCAGAGAATTCAAGTGTTGATCACGTAGACTTGGAGTATCCTTTTGAATTATTTCCTCATTTTGGAAACTTCCAAGTTAAACCGCTCTCCAAAAACACAAATTAAGGAAGGATTTTTATGAAACGGCTGCTGAATGTTCTCAATGTGGAAAATACTCTTCTGTTGATTAGCTGTACCGGCCAGTATCAATTGATAAATTCTCCTTTCTTACCTGTGGCGGGAAATTCGAGAGGGAAACGTCTTTGTTCTTGAAAGCGATATGAAATTGACCCGCAGCGTGACCTTGTTCATTTTTAACTCACCCGATAAGCGCTCTAAATGAGCTTATATCAAACGGAAAAAGGTAAAAGAAGATATTGTTTGAAATGAAAATTATTTCAGTTGACGAGTCTCCACGCAAATTTAGCTTTTGTAGAATGAACAGAGAAAAGGCGAAAGCTCGAAACAATCGGGGTTTTCCCCGAAAAGATGACTAATCACCTGACTGATTTTGGTCTTTTGATTCGTCAATAGATCTCCGCCGACTGCGGACAACAACTCTCCACGTTGCATTTTCACAGCTTGCTTGATTTTCATCGAAATTAAGGTAAGAAGCTTTGTATCTGAATTTCAAAGCCAGTCATGCCAGTGTTGAGTGTAATATAGGAACTGTACATTTACGTCTTGTATGCTCATATCAAACTTAATAGTTCGCCTTGCATAAAAATTGTACCATGGACATAATCTTATGTAATCAAGGGCTTTTATCTTGTGGTTCAACTAAAACAGGCAAGACGCCATAAAAATAGGAGATAGGGGTCAGACTAAATCAGGGGAAACTTAGAGAAAAGAGGTCTTCCAACTATCGTTGGTGCCTTACAACATTAGTAGGGTTCAGGATATTTAGGTATCTAGTATAGAATTACTTCACTCATGGAGCTAATTGTAAAATTGTAGCCTGGGGAGGGCTTCCGGGATAGACGTGGAGTTTTTTAGTTGGCCTCTCTATCCTGCACAGCAGGGCACATATAAGGCACGTTTGCCCTCTGTCCTAAACAGGTTTCTAAAATGCGGGTAAAATAGAGGTTGACTTGTCCCCCTTTTGAAGTTTTCCACCAATCGGAAAAAGTGCACAGCTTTCCGCGAACTTCGGGGGTATGTGAGAGAACTGAGAATGTGAGTTAGATAAAATTGGGCGTCCTGTGCAAGTACTGAGGATCATGGGAAAATGAGTTGAACAGCTGTTGATTAGCACAAAACAGGTCCTTCGGTTTGAATGGTCTTTCATGTATATTAGACTATAAGATAATTATTAAGATTATTTTTTTTAAGATAATTATTTTATTTTGCTGTAGCTCAATAGCACTAGACACTGCAAAAATAAGAATTTGTTTCCAGTAATTCACTGTTTAATAGCAAAAGACAGCTTACAACACCTCAACATCACCATTCCTTTTACTTGTCACTTCCTGGTAGAAGTCTAAAAAGCAAGTCATTGAGCAGAAAAAGGATGTTTGTCCTTTTTCAGGAGCAACATCAACTCATTTAAATCAAACTTCATTAATAACACTTCATAATAATACTACATGCATTAATTATTACTGTGAAACTCACAAAATCGTTAACAACAGAAAATAATATTTCTGCAATGTTTTTGAGGCTGGAAAAAAGCCAAACAAATGGAAGAAAACTTAAAATGCAACAAAGGTGATTCTTGTGATTGCATGGTTCCAACAAAAACATCAGGTACCGTATTTCCTCGAATCATAGCCGGGGTCGATTATTTCTTTTTTCGCACAAAAAGGGGCCAATTATTCAAGGGAAGGCAATTATTTCAAATATTGCTAGCTCACAGGAAGTTGTGCCCTAAATATTTTATTTATTTTCCCATTTAATAAAAAAATAATCACATCAAAAATAATAATACAAACTGAACATGGGCTTTTTAAGTGTTTCAAATGTAGTTCCTTTTTCAGAGCTTGAATCATCACTGATCAGTTTGGCTGGATCACATTGCACTTCAACTTGAAAGGAAGGAGATAAAAGGAAGAGAAAATGGCTAGAGGGGCGGGGGAGCAATTATTTGAGGGAGGCAATTAATTGAGGGACGGCTATTATTTGAGGAAATATGCTACTCATGATTTCTAGAGTTTGACAGTAATCACTCTAACTTGTAGAAAACAAATTCGTGAATACAGTCGAACCTTCAGTAATGGCCACCTCTCTGCGTAACGGCCATTTTTTTGGGCAGACAGTCCTTACAGTCACTCTTGTGAACAACCTTTCTATCACGGCCACCTCTCGATAATGGCCACTTTCTTCTGTCCCCAAGGTGGTCATTGTAAGGAGGTTCAACTGTATACTATTATTTTTAAAAAAGAAAATACTAATCTAAGTAACCCCAATAATGCTATACTATGGCTTAGTAAAATTTTTGATGGCATAATTTTCACCAATAGCAAAGGGCTACGAAGCTCATCAAGATGGTGACCAACTTGAAAAAAGTATTCAGCGTTTAAGAAAATTGATGTAAAGCTAATGAGGCTGCTCAGATTTTAGTCTCCATCAATCAACAAAATCAATGCAGTAGAGTTAAAACAAAAAATGAACCTAAGTTTATATTTCTGAGGGTTCCTCACTAAAGCTAAATACCTAACTTAACCCTGGAAAAACATTGATCTTTGCAATACAAGTAGCAAATATTTATAAATACTAACTTGTTTGAAACAGTTATAAAATTAAATAAAAAAAAATTATTATATAACAGTTAACAATTTATTATTTTTTTCACGCATGCAGATTTTCTTGCTGTTTAGATGTTGGCGAGAATATTCACTTAATAATATAAAATCAATTTTAAGATATACAATACAGAAGAATGTTTCCAATTTTCTGCTTGTTTTTAATACTTTAATTAGAATCGGACTGTCAACTGAGGAATGAAAAGGCTTCAAGATGGTACACCCTTACACATGTACATAGTTCTTGCTCCTGATACTAAGGAAACAAAACTCAAATGGCTTCACTTGTAAAAGTGTTGTAAAATTGTTTATATTATGACAGCACTGTACAGACTGAAAAATAGCATGCTAGAGTACTATCAGAAGGTTGCTAAATATTTTTTATGCAATTTAACTCTTAATTATTCTCTGACCAAACAATTTATAAACCACCAAGTGTTATAGTTTATGTACCACATCCAAAAACTGATACAAACATAAAAAATAATGCTCAAGTCATCTTACTAACATGTTCACCTTGTTCAAGAAGAGATTTTTCAGTTTTTGCTCATAGCAGTAACCAATATTGTCCTTTTGAAATCCCTGTGACACTTTTTATATAATTAGCCTTGTACCTGACTCATCCCCAGTTGTCTTTGCATGACTAAGGTGAGACAACAAAGAGAGAGAGACGACTGGGGACGAGTCAGGCCTTGTACATGTATATATGTCCTTGGGCAGATCCAGAGGTGGTTCGGGTGGTTTGTTCAAACCCTCTAAACTGAAATGAAACTTTTAAACATGAGCAGTTTCTGATGAAAACCTTCGGTGGACATACATCGCTGACAAATACCTAAATGTTTTCTTTTGAAAAATGACTGTGATGAAAAGAAAAAAAACATTAATTGACAGAGGGGAGTCCTTTCCTGGTTTTAAATGCCGAGGGTGATTTTTAGAGAACATGGGAAATACAAATTTGTAACTGTTATTTCAGATTTATATTTGTTATTGGTCTCGATTATTGTAAATTTTTAAGAGTAGTTTAATTGTTTAAAACAGCTAAGAAAAGGGGTTCGTTTCAAAGGTATCCAAACCCTCCTAGGATGGTTTGCCTTTGGCAGACATTCATCCGAACCCCCCTCCACTAAATCCTGGATCCGCCCCAGATGTCAGGGATAAAGAAAGAGTCCTGTCTGCTCATCCAGGAAGAGAAGTTTGTCTTGCTGGGAAAGTAAATGCTGAACCTCACTTGCCCAATGGTCAAGACTCTTGGCAAGTCAGCCACTAACTAAGTCAATAAATAACCCTTTAAACCCTATGATCAAAATTTGAATTCTCATTTGTTGCCCCTATTCATTTTCTACAGAATTAAGGTGGAGAAGTTGATAAAATATCAAGCAAATTCATTTTGTGTGGTCATGTCCGTAATTCTCATGACCACTCTGTTTTACAAAGCATTATTGATATTACAAGGAGAAATTTGATGCTGATCACACTTACTGCTTAAAGGGTTAACTAAGACAAGCAAGAAGTTGCCCCAGGCAAGCAAAACATGAAAGGCTTGTCCATTAGTTAAGGATATGCTGGAAATATTCAAGCGTTTTTAGAGTTCTGTATGTAAATAGATGACTCTCAAATAGAACAATGAGATATAATTAACAAGACATTGATCTTTTTCACAAAAACCCAAAACTAAAATTTCTACACTTAGTGGAGAATAAATGTTGGCCCTTTTAAAGGTACAGTTTGTAACTGGCATATCATTTATACTAAGGATAATATTCCTGTCTTGCTAAATACTTAATATTACATCTTTTTTAACAACATAGAAAAATAACTTAATGTTTGCACAACATTTTTTTACAAGCACAGTGGTATACTGGTAGTAATATGAACGTATAACTTACACGCAGTATTATGACATTAATATGTGAATGCATGATGATTTACAACTAGCAAAACAAATTTGTACATTAAGATATGCTTGAATTCTTTGACATTATTCCATGAACCACAGACAGTACTTCATATCCATTAGTCTTTCTTGGTGGCGAACATGATCAAAATATTTATCTTTACCGTAAAATAATTGTCCTTCTTACCTTAAATTTTAATATTAATTGAAATGCAAAATGTAAGTTTGTAAAATGATAGCTGCCTTCAACAGTAATAATCTACATAATTAGAAACTGCAAATTTAATTAAGATCCTTTAAAATTTATCATAATCGACCAAAAACACTTTCAGCACTGCTGTCACCAAAGATCAAGGGTTCTTTTTAATTTATCTTGGATTCTTTTTACCGTATTCTTTTACAGTCAAACCAGGTCAAGTATACCCCCACATGCGAGGTCATAAAAATTTCTGTCAGCTCATCAGCTTATTTTTTGACTCATGTATACACGTGTTTCATGACAAAGATTTTTCAATCTGACCAGATCCAGAGAGGTTGTACTACAAAAATTCCTTGCCCAATATGCATACAGGACTGCAGGCTTGAACATCAATGCCTGAGTACAGTAGTAATGACCAAGAGATTCAATTATGATTATTAATACAATCTATAGCCTGCCAGTATGCTTGACCTGGCTTGACTGTGAATGCCACCTGAAGACTTGCCATTGTTGATGGTAAGCCTGAAAATTTTATTTTACTGTACATTTTATTATTATGAAGTTATAACAAAATAATTTGCTTGCTGTTATGATCTTGCTGAGGGAACTGATTGAGATGACTGTGGTATCATGGGGTAACCATTGGCTGTGCCATTATGCATTCCATTCATAGATAAACTGGCTGGCTGCAGAATCAGTAAAAAAAAAAACGTTTTATTGAGCACACAAATACTGCTGATATAAGATGCACTAGTAATGTGTGAGGGCAAAACAATTCATCTCTGCAGGGCTCAAAGTTTAAATTTGAGTTTGGGAGCACTTGTGCCACCAGATGTAAATTTTTAGGCGCACTGCCGAAATTTTAGGCGCACAGCTGAAAATTTTAGGAGCACAGCTTATAATGTTGGGAGCATCTATTTCAAAAGAAAAAGTAAAGTTTATTTGTCATCTTCAGTTTGTTACTTTTACTTCAGTCCTGTGACTGATAAAACACAGCCGATTTGCTACGCAGTAATACCGTTGTGATTTTTAATACCAATTTCTCTTTTTGACAGTACAGTTGTGATTAAAGAAAACTTACACTTGAAAAGTAATTCAAAACTGACAACAATGAGTGTGTCGAACAAGAATGAAAATTAATCTTTAATGAATTTGTTAAATGTGCAATGACTTACATGTAACTGGAATACGAAACAAAAAACTTTCTTACCTGGAAAAAAAGGCTCTTAATCCGCACTGTTTTTGTTTTCATTGACGTTAAAAATGAACGTTCGACATGATCGTCCATTGCGCAAAAAGTATGTGTTTCATTCGTAGCATATATTTGCATGTGTCAGCGGTGTTTATTACAAAACAGAAAAGTCTGGGATGGAAAAAAACATCGAAACGAAAAAGAACATTCGAGTTCGTGGAATCCATTGGGAGAAAAGACCAATTAAACATACACCGTCTTTCTAGTTCGAGTTAGTAAGTATAGTCGGAAGTAAGTCAGTCGCACTGTGCTTTGGGTTTTACGGTGCACAGGTGCGATTGCACATGAATTTTTAGGCGCACAACCAAAAATCCAGTCGCATATGCGACCAGTTAGTCGCTAACTTTGAGCCCTGCTCTGTGCATAGTCTGACAAATTAATCTGGATGCATGGTGGGGTTTGACAGCACTAGTCACAGACTTAAATACAATGTGGCTAAATGTAACAACAACAACAACAATTATTTATTGACAGTTTTTCTACATGGAACTTTACATCTGTCATACTAACTAAAAAAATGTTACTCAAAAACTGCTAAAAGCTATAAATAATTCTAAAAAAAACTGGATCCAAGTTAATCTACATAATGCACTTAAGAACTGTTAAAACTGTAAAATCTAAATGCTATAAATACAGTGAGTAACCATAACTAAGAAACAGTCTTATCAAGACAACTTATGAGGTTAAACTTAGGTGCGCGCTGGCCCTTAACTCATTAAAATTGTAAAACAATTTATTTTTAAAAGTATTAAAGTCTGGACTCTGTTGTACATTTGTGGGTAGTGAACCGAATAAAGTCGCTAATGAGTCTCGGAAAGAACCCTAAACTAAAGAAATTTATATTACAGGCTCATTATAGCACAGTGTATGTAGGGGATTGTGCCTAGGCAGCTGCAAGCATTCGGGCCAAGCTTCACCAAAAAGAGCCGATGAATTTAGGTTTCTGGGAAACTGCCCACCTACCCCTCCCCTAAGCCAACAGTTTGCCCTAAGTGGGAAGTGAGTGATTATGTTGACTTAGGGGAAGGGTGGGTGGTCAGTTTCCCAGAAACTTAAATTGATCCAAAAGAGCTTGATGTCCAAGCTTAAGAATGGTGAGGTGACATTAAACATGACACAATGCTGGCCAGCAGCCTCCATCACTAATTAAGCGGCCACTTCCCAGTACCCACGGGACGGCTGCTTAATGAAGGTTCAACTTTAATGGGAAAAAATTGTGATTTAACAAATCCTACCTTGTTTCCATTTGCTACTCCATTTCCCAAAAACATGGATGTGATATCAGTGAAGTGACCTTCTTGTTGTGAGTAGTATGGCGGTGGTGCATTTGGGAGTGGCGGGGTGTAGTAGGCAGTGCCATTCTCTGCAGGTCTTGCAGAGGGAAGGTTCTCTTGGATGCCAATCTAAAAGGATTGAAGCCGTCCATTAGATTTTTAAATAAAAATTGTAATTTGTTTACCCTTAGGGATTTTTGAAAACTGGGTTAGCAAAAAAATCAACTCATTCTACTACTTGGCAATTTAAAACAATAAAAAAATCATTCAAAGGCCTATTAAAAGCCCTTATCTAATGCAAGGCAGTAAGTTTTTGGTCCCCAGAAGCATTTCAATGATTCCAAAAATAATTTAAAATGACACAAATTTTAGAACATTATCTTATTCAGTAGTCTGACTCCGTGAAGTTTCAAACTGGTGTCATTTGAGTCTAGAAATTTTTAAGTTGAGTGAACTGCAGCCAAAAAGTGCCTGGTTAAGGCTTACATAACAACTTAACTAGTTAGCAAAACACTACTTTTCTCAAGCTCGAATAAACGACAGGATTTCGCATGGAATAGACAACAAACTGAATGAAACATAGTCCACAAATAATTATCACCTTCTTATCTGCAAAAACCGGCCAATGGTTCAAATCCATTCGGGCCGGCTAAACTTAGACCCAGATCCAATTTTTCTAAGTCGAGAGTTGCTTTTCCAAGGTACAATCAGCTAAGCTAAACACCGACAAAACGTTTTCGTGGCTGGCACAGAATATCTTGGCCGAAAGGGAGAAAATACCCCCAAAATAAGGGAGGAGGGAGATTTACCGTCCTGTACTTCCCTCCTCAGAAAGTAACTCCATTTAAGTTTTGACTGAAATGGTTTTTGATAGATATAGGTACTAAAGCTGATTAAATTCTAATGAAAGATTTTTTACCTGGTTGGTTCTCAAATGAAATGGAAAATTACTGTTTGCAGCAGAAGGTCTTGTTATAACCTATAATGAAAAAAGTTCCACAAATACTTAAGAATTGCTTGTAGTGTTCTCAATCTGGCAGTGTTAAAAGGCTACAATTTTCTAACAGATAAAAAAAAAATTGAATGTCAATAGTGGGACCAGCTAAACTGGCGCATGATAAAGATAGAGTAAAATATATATTTTTTCTCCCTTGGTATAAATTTTATTTTCCCCTTTTGGGTATGGCAATGAATGATAATGAGATTGAAATGACAGAAAACAAAAATTTGAACCAAATATAATAATGACACAAAAAGCAAAGCACACTTAAGATATAAGTGCGTTTACCGTGAATGTTTTTTTTTTTTTTTTTTTTTTTTTTGAAGTACAATTACTGATTAGAACTGCTTGTAAATAGTGCATTGTAGTGTGAGTAGTGAGTAGGTAGTGTTGTAAGTACTGAGTATTGTAAGTCTTAACACTGTAATACAGAGTAAGTACCTTAGTCTATTGTATTCTAAATATTGTATTGTAAGTAGTGTAAGTATCGTAGTGTTTGTAAGTATTTTTGATTGTTGATTGTTGATTGAATAAATGTTATTAAAAAAAAAAAAAAAAAAAAAAAAAAAAAAAGCACGCCCAACACAAAATAAGGATTGCATTCTCTACCTTTGTCTAAAGCAATTTTTAACAGCTGTTATTAGTACGTAATTATGTATTTCAGCCACCTAAACTTACCAAGAAAGCAAAGTGTGCTAGGAATGAAATTGTCCAATCAATGCCATTGACAACTTGAGCTCTGAACAAAAAAATATATATACATATTTCAACTGTAAATATGCAGGTTACATTATTGAGCATAAAGTTATGTAACAAATTATAAAATGAGAGTGGCTATCTTTTAAAGTCAGCTTTTATATTATAATTTTTTTCTTATTTTACATGAGGTCAAAATTAAGACTTGACTTGCAAATTCTCCGCTATATAGACAACTTTGCACAACAAATTATTTTACTGACAAAAGGTTTTTTTCCTTCATTATCATGATGGTTATATTGAGTATATGAAATTTCAACTCACCTTTCCCACTTTGGTATCTTAAATGCTGCAATTACAACAACAATTGGTCCAGCAAGAAACCTGAAAAGAAGTTTTCAGTCAAGAAACTACAACATGCCAAGTTTAGAATCTTACTTAGCTTAATCTGATAATAAGAGTCAGAGGGATGCAACATAATTATGTGCAGTTGAACATAAAGAAACAATTTTGGATTAATTATTGAATGTGGTGCAAATATCAGCATTTTTGCTTCATGCATGCATATATACTATAATGAAAATTATTGTATTTATTATTGTACCAAGAACAAATACATTATTTGGATAGCTTACCATCCAGTGTAGAAAAACCAGAATGGATAGTAAAAGCCACACTTGTTAGGAAAATGCTTGAGTGTGAAAAAAGTTCCATAGCAGAACCATAGCCATGCCTGAAATAAAAACTCAATTTAGATCGATCACAACACTGGCATTTTTATCAGTGATAAATGTAATAAATAATTATTATTACTTTTAGTATAGGAAAAATGTTGGAACCCTTACATGTTTTTAAAATCACTCATAACTCAACTGCACAAAAGGGCCCAAGTACCCCACGAGCAGAGGCTACATTTTCGCTGTGTGAGGTGTTGTGCAAAAAGTAGCCTGTGTTGACAAGCGTCCAATTTTCTATTGTGAATGCACGAAATTCGTCACGTGATTCGCAAGCAAAATTAATCGTCAGGTCTGTCATCAAATGACGTGAGTTTCGCCGGAATAATAAATAATTGCGACAACTCTGATCTGCTACGCAAGACTCACGCAAGAGTCACGCAATGCTCTAAACAGGTCAAGAACAGGAAAAAAACGTTTTTTAAAATTTATTCGTCCAGATTTCTGGACAGATTTGAACGGTTGTTCGCAGAGGCTACTTTTCTCAAGCCAGCTCACACAGCAAGAATGTAGCCTCTGCTCACAGGGTAGGGCCTAAGTGGATCCACCTTTCATTAACCATGTGACACCATCAGCTATAATGAACCCTGCTAGCAGAGATTTCTATCTGGCATGATTTTAAGCATTATTTTCAAGGTCCTCTGCTAAAAGGTGCAATCTAATAAAAAAGAATCACTTCTTTATTTAAAAAAATATAATATTATTATCTAAACACTTTTCTTTATAGTTGAGCTTGTACATTATTAAACAACACAATGATAATAATATTTTCTAAATTCCCAAATAAGCCAGCGATAGTTAAAATATGAATGAACCCTCTGAATGCAAGGTTGTAAATTAATGACAAATGAATCAACCAACATTATCAGGAGTTATAAAAATTGCAAATATACGACTAAAAATACTCACAATGACTCTCAGCACACAGATTCCAATTCCTGCTGCACTCTCATAGATATACAGAACTTGGCCAGGGTCAAAAACCTTTTCATTTGGGGGAAAATAGCAAAGAGTTCAGCAAAGAATGTAGGTGCTTATTTTTTCAAGCAATATATTATTACACTGCTGTATGTGCGCAAGGGTGCTTTCTTCTTCTATGCGAACTTAAAAGCATTAGTGTTATGTTTGCAAGAAATGGCCACAGTGAAGTTCCTTGTGTATTGCCACAAATTCTTGATCACTTTCAGAATTACTAGTAGAAATTGCGTTGCTCCTAAAATATCCCTAATTTACAAGGCATTACACTAACCCTTACCCCTCCCATGTGAAGTTTTGCTCACCCCTCTGTTCATAGAAAATACTAACCATTTTTGTCTGTGAAAGACTAATTACCCACTAAGAGTAAAGGACTTCCAACATTCTCTCCTGGGATTGTTAAGAGTATGAATAATTATATTCTCTGTAGTGTATGGATCTATAATATATCAATTTCAGGTGCACCCGCACTGAAATCTCTCCCATTCCTGTCTGTTGGTCAATAAATGTTGTTGCTGGTCTCCCCCTTGAGCATCTGCCATGTTTTGGTTCTCAAATTTTGGGAAACAGTCTCATTCTTGCTTCTCCAACAGTATATGGATAATATTTTCTAAATTCCCAAATAAGCCAGCGATAGTTAAAATATGAATGAACCCTCTGAACGCAAGGTTGTAAATTAATGACAATCAGCCATTGGACAACTGCTGCCAAAAATTTGCCTATGTCCAATGAAATAGCAACCGGATCAAATCATCACTGACTTCACCACTTTAAACAGGAATATAAACTCAGTCCTGGGTAATTATTAAACGTAATAAATCATAACTTCCTTATAAGCCTTATATCATTTTCTGTAATTGAGAATCAGGCACAATAAAATGGTGGGAGAAAAGTTCAAGACATATGTTGGCTGACTACATTTTTGCCCAACTTGCTCAACCAAAATGACGACTTATAGTTTGAAATCAGTCCTTACAAAAAAAATTAATGATCATTTGCAGCCTGAATATAACTGCTACTTATTTCCCCTCTATCATATAAATTGTTAATCAATTTAAAAATGATTATTATGAGGTGCTAGCATAACCATATATCTGCCCAACGTTTCAGTTGAACTAACATTGATCATGTAATACTTACAGATGCTTCATAGAAGAAGAGAATGGCGAAACACATTGCGTACACTGTACCAAAGACACTTAGTTTGATTTGACCAGACGAACTGATACGTCCTCTGCAAAGTAAACCATCAGACCAATCACGGTAAGATTTTACCCTAATACACCGCGTGCTTCATTGTCGTGATTAACACTTATTGACGTGATCAGTGTTGAGAAAGATGGTTGACACCCTGAAAATTTTTCAACCTCAGATTAAACTGATTTTGATCATGTTCAAAGAATCTATAAACTAAATGCAGCACTCAGATACTGAAGTAAGAGATCCACTTGTTTTAAAAACAACAATAAAAGTAATATATAATATAATAATAACAATAATAATAATAATAATGCATGTATTTCATGTAAATGTGTTCATATGCACAAGATGGTTCAGCGAAATACATATTAAGTAATCAGTGAATAAAGAAATAAATAAAGCAAAATTAAAGTATTATTACAATACAGTAAACTTCCGATTATAAGCCATGGGTTGATACAAATATTTAAGGGGTTTTTAGGACGGTTTATAAGGGTGAGGGAAGGGGGGGAGTTGGAGGCTTATAACCAGACTAAAAAAAGTGTTTTCAAAACAAGGTACATAGCAGTGCTTATCAAAATACTTTTTGAATTTAATTACTTTGTTAAGCTTCAAAACATCCTAAAAAGTTGAATTCATTTCAATACAAGCTTCAGGGGGGCTTATAACCACGTGTATTTCTTTATTTAGAGGTAGATGGGCTTGAAAATGGGGGAGGGGGCTTATTGGTAAGTTCAACAAAGAAATGTCTTATATTTTTTCGTTAATAAACTAGATTATATTAAAATTTCTAATGCTTTACCTTATTATTCACCTTCATTATATATTATATTATTCATTGTAAGTTGATTAATGTATATCATGAGAGTTAATAAACTTTATGGTTCAATCCTCCAAGATTTTACCAACCTTGTAACAGTCCACCCTTTTGCCATCAAAATTAACATGATAAGAAATACTACATGTGAAATGAAATGACTTCCACGACCTAAAAGGAAATTTATCAAGAGATAATGAAAACAAGCACTTTTGATGTGTTTTAAGTGTTAGTATCACAAGAATTTAATAATCTCAATTCATGCCCAAAATAATGAGATTGTCAGTGATCAGAAACAGACCAAATACCCATAGTATACTTTTTAGTTTTTCATTTCTTAAAACAAGGACAGGGTAGATTAATGGTTTGAGGCAAAAAAAGGAGAAAGAAAGGAAAAAACTGTAGGCGGGAAAGAAAAATAATGCAAGGCTTAAGTCGTCTCTAGGGAAGCAAATTGTGTAGCCAACTTTTGGGCAGTTTTTTTTGCATTTTGTCAAGTAAAGGGAATGAAAGCAGCATGGCTGGTAGCTTCAAATATATTACCATAAAGCAAAAGACCATAAATAAATATGACATGGCAGCCCTTTAATAACTACCTTTTATCCGTCCCATGCATGCAAACCTCAGTTACTACAAAGGGTCTAATAAGGGTAAAATAGACCTACCTGCAACTTTCCAGCCATATGTCTCTGTTCCACTTCTTCTAAACATGTCATAGTATATCATGTAGAAAATCAAGCTTATGACTGACAAAAGAAAAATTAATAGCAATAAATTAAATTTGATGATGAACCTAGATGGCATATGTCTTAGCAGGGACGTGACAAAATTTACTCTTGCTGGAAGAATTATTATTTGCCCACAACATTTTACTTTTTCTTGACTTGTGACATTCAACCCACCGTCACTTTGAGTGTCAAAAGGTTCACAAAAATTAAAATTTACTACATAATTACTGCATGAAAATGTGAAATGTAGCCAGGATAATCAAACCCAGAGGGTAACAGTCTTAACATAAAATGTGTGACTGCATTTATAAAGGTTTCATTGTAAATACACTAAGTTCTACTCACCTTCAAATGAAATTGAAGCCATAAATAACTTGTATGAAAAGTGAAAAAGTCTTCGTGCTGAAAGTAAATCTGCAACAGACAAATACAGTGTAACAATATTGTTACGTACATGTAACGTATGAACATGTTATAATAAAGCAATGAGGTACCAATGCATTACTGTCACTTAACACAAAACAGTGACAAACTTGAGCCCTTTGATTCAATAAAATTTATACAGTAGTCAGCAGAAAACCTTCCAAAATGTGCAACCTTGATTCACCTTTTAAAAACAAGAAGGAACCTTGGGCTGAGTTAGCTTTCACAAAGAATTCTAGGACCGTTAATGTTTCTAAAGGCTGGTTTTCACTAGCGATGGAGTCGGAGTCGTAGTTGTAATCAGAAGCGTAGAGCTTATGATCTAGTGAAAACAGCGTTCCGATTCCACTTACGACTCCGTTGCTTACGTTCCACTTATGATCTAGTGAAAACCAGATTGTCAGAGTCGGAAGCAGAAGCAGAAGAACCAAACCAATTACAAAGCGTGGGAACGTGCACTGTGATCGGAGTCGTCAGTGGAGTCGGAAGAAAATGGAAACGTTCTGATTCTTCTGACTCCAATTCCGTCGCGCTTATGACTCCACTTACGACTCCGAGTTTGATTTTCACTGGGTCATAAGCGCTCTTACGACTCCGCTTACGACTCCGACTCCGACTCTGACTCCGTCGCTAGTGAAAACCAGCCTTGAGGACGCGCTATTTACCAATTTGTTTTCCCTGTCCCAAGTAACAGCCCCAGCTTCCTTCTCGTTTCTAAAGTGGTGAATGGCTTGTGAACCTGAGCCCACATTACAGCCACTAATACTGCTTAGCAGAAACCTCATTTTGACAGCTGTCAATTGACTATGATATAAAGTGGGTATGTCACAGAATAAAAAAGCAACATTCTCGTTGCGTCTTGGTGAAAGTAACATTTTGTTAACCTTTTAAGTCCCAAAGGGTGACCAACATCAATTTTCTCCTAACAATATCCATACAATGTCAAGAGATTAGGTTATGAGAATTAATAAAATGATCACCAAAGAGAAAATGCTTTGATCTTTTATCAAATTCTCTCAACTCATTCTTTTAAGGAAATGTATAGAGATCAGTTTGGAGAATTTGTATGTGTATATTGGGGCCTTAACTCCTTGTCTGCTGCCAATTATTTCAATATATTTTGCCATGTAACTTTAAAAAATCATATCTCTGGTGTTATTTACAGTTCAATATCAAGCTATACCTCATTGGAAAGGGAAAAGAATACCCTTTCGAAAAAAAAATATTTCGGTCATAGGAAACCCATAATATTCCGCCACAAAAAAATTCAGAAAAGCATATTTTGCATAAAAATTTTTTAAAATTTTAAAGAATGTCATTTAGCTAGGAAACTTCTTTATTTTGGGTGATATGGTAGCAAGAAATATTTTTCATCAATATGTAAGTAAAAAAACCCGAAAATCGTTCTAAAATATGGAGCGACTAGAAATTTTCTACAAATTTTTTCCTGCACGCTGTCATGATTATGCTAATTGGATTATCATAATTAGCATAATCCTTTAAGCGCCACCTCGTGACCCCATGTTTACTTCACTGAGACGCTTTGTTTCCTCGATTCCCAAAAAAAATATCGAGTTAGGGACAAGCAGACATGAATTTGCTGATAGACTTCATCAAAATAAGCAAGAATTTGACAGCTTAAAAGCGAAGCGAAGGCAAAACGGGAAGGAAATCGTCGCCGTTTCAAGAACATGTGGCACAGAGTGGGCGATCGGCGATTTGCATGCACAGATTCTAATTGTTTCCTAACCTCGACAAGCGTTTATTTTGCTTGTTATCCTCCAAAATCCTTCAGAATAGTTTGTTTGACTTGTATTTGGTTGACATTCGTCGATACAAGCTTTCATTATTCGCAAAACCGGCTCACAAAGATTCCCCGCGACTCGCCATAAAATTCAAAATTTTCGAAAACCCGGTGTGTGACGGTCAAAAGTCGACAGGGGCTGGAACTAGGCAGGTGATTGGCTAAATCTATTAACTTCCTGTGTGCCAAATTTGGGAGCAATCGGAAGTAACACAATTTTTTGCGAAATTTCTTTGGTCACCGTTCCTGAAGCTCCGATTTCGGCGACCCCGGAAGACGAAGTGTTAAAAGGGTTAGAAGCTTACAATAGGTGCTTACTTGCTACATAGACAGAAAGCAGCCACATTAAAGTAAATGCCCCAAAGAAAACTGCATCCATAATAAGAATATCTGTTAAAAAAAAAAGAAAAGAACATTAGTCATTAGAAAGATATTTCACTGATAAATATAATGTTATAATATAGAGAATGAGATAATCTATATTCCCCATTGGCAACTTTCGTGGCATTAAGGCCAGTGGACCTAGGAAATCACTGACGCAGAAACAAAACATGGCTAAGAATCCCATCTGGTTGAGGCCATTTACCATTTGGTTGTTTACAAGTGGGGTCGCGGATTTGAATCCATTACAACCCAGGACAATCCAGCTTATGGTTTACAGAGATGCCAATCTCCGGAGACCTAAAATCTGGAGACTCTCTATTTTGCACTACACCCTCCCCCATCCCACCCCTGAATCTCAACAGAAAGCATAGTTTTCTACTTTGTAACTTATAATATTATTATTGGCAGTTTTAAATAGAATTTCATATATATTAAACAAATATGGGTGTGCTAATAACCAATACATACATCTCTCATCAGCTGAGAAGTGTTTACCCCAGCCATCACCATTTGTCATTTCCAAAGTGTACTGCAGTACTAATCCCTAAAATAACACAGTCAGTCAGTGAAAATAGCAAGTAACTAAAAATATGTGAATCACAAGACCTCGCGGAGCACTTTGGGAGAATGGCCTGGCTTGCGATCCTTGTGGGAGTCATGCGCATAGCAAATTCCAACAAAATTAAAGACCCACTTTCGTGAGGAATAAAAGCATACATCTGGAGTATGCCTGCCAACCCTCACGCATTATACATAAATCTCATGCTTATGGACTGAAGACATTAATCTCCATCAAAGGCAATTTCTTAACTTTATCACAACACACTAAAATGTCACCAATGAAATAGCTTTGAAAGCGCTCAAAGGTCGATGGAACATCTTCGGACATTTTTGGCAATGTTCAAAATTTGTTGGAAATGTTCAAAAATTCTGGTCATGACAAGACGAAAACCTCACACATTTGACTCAGAAAATGTTGGGAGGTTTAAACTAAAGTGGATCAAGGTGTCCTTCAAAGTAGATGGATCAGTACCACAACAAAAAAATATTAAACATAGCTACATGTATCAGCAGTATAATCATCTATAAACATGGTGTCATTATGACAAAAATTAAAAACATTATATATAATACTGCTTGCTACTGACAAATCATGCATGTTACAGGTCAAAATTAAATACAGGTTGCTTCTCAATTTCATTAAATAGTTAGTCTTCTAGCCCTTATTATTTGTGAATATATTAGGGATAGGAGAGGCAAACGAAATTAAGAATCAACTTTGGTTAAAAAATGAAATCAAAATTTAGATTTGACCTGTGACACATATTTTGCCTTTAACCTTATTTATGGACAAAAACTAACGTCCACAATTCTCACTTAACTAGTTATCACAGCCAATAATATCTGAAGGCCCCAAGTGACTCTTGATCTTTTGAGAAATTCCTTCTCACGGCTGTCATAAAGTTTTGACGCAGCTAACTAATCGGGATTCACCCATAACAACTCACAGACATTTATAGGGTCACCGTTAGCCTTCCACGTACACTGACCACCTGAAACATCAAGTGGCCTCAGCTGTCACAGGTGTTATGGGTTATGGCCCATAATAAAAGCTCTGCTTCTGCTCTTTTAAAACAACAATAATAATTTTAAAACATGAGGTAATTTTTAGGGTTAATAATGTAGAAATTTAATTGAAGTCACTTGGGACCCTTTCTTTCAGCTCCCTTCTGACTAGCCGACAACAGCCATCTCTCCTTCCTCCTCACTGTGAGGGATATTTTGCCAGAGGGGATGTCTGCGCCTCAGCAACAAAAATTCCATACTGACAATGCAAAATCTTTCCGGAATCTGGTTAGGAGCTTTGTTTGTTCAACGTAGTACAGTTGACTTCCGATAACTCAAACCCTTGCTAACTCAAACCTCCCACTAACTCAAACCAAAGTCGATTTCCCCTGGATTTCCTTCATACATTTTCTGTACTTTTATCCTCAGTAATCATAACTTGAACCCACAATAACTCCATGGCCAACCTCCCACTAATTCAAAATAATTTTTGTTTCCCTTCAGACAATTTCTGTAGGATTTTACCCACGATAACTTGAACCATGTTTTAACATTGCGACAATTCAAGGAAAAACATTAAGTTTATTTCTGAAGCAACTGCGTCAATTTCCAGTTCAAATTCAGTGTTCATTCCTCTATATTGATCAAGCTTTGCCACTTAATTCCTTTTTCAAAACATCAATCTATATCTCTTGCATCCATTGAAGTAAAGTGTGCATGATACTTGTATCCCCTCTAGATCATTTTTTTATTTCCTTATTTTTGGTTATTTGCTTCAAACTCCCAACAACTCAAACTTTTTTCTATTTCCCTAGAAGGTTTGAGTGATTGGGAGTCAACTGTAGTTATATTGTTTTTATAGCAATATTGTTTACGAACGACAGACAAAAGACAAAAGGTCACAAAAGTTAAACAAGAATGCGATGAATCTATACTGCAAAACAGTCAATACTCGTGGAATACAGTCAACTGTTGCCTTGCAGACACCCTGCCATACTGGGCATCTTGATAAGACAGACAGCAGCTACATCCCCGGCAAAAACAAATTACAGACATTTAAGTGAAATAAACTCCCGCTATTACGGACTCTCACTAATGAGGACACTACTTTGACGTCCCTACAGTGTCTGCTTTAAAAGGAGTTGACTGTACAGTATATGTTACAGGTCAAAAGTTGATTCTCTATCCCTCTGCATGTCCCTAGCCTTAATTATTCATGAATTAGGGCTAGAAGACAAAGGAAGTTGAGAATCAACCTACAGATTTAGGTTAAAAAATTTTAACCTGGATAACTTTGACCTGTAACATATACATGTATTGTTCTTTAGAAGAAGCATTTGAGTTTTGCTGGAGCTCGTTCCCAGAAAAACACAAAACTTAATCAACCAGGAAAAACATTAAAGTCATAAAACCAAACAAACTAAATCTGTTTGCCATGGAGTTCCAGATGTAAATTTTACATGGCAAACGGATTTAATTTATTACAGGTGTATGTGAACATTCATTTATATCATCAGTACTGGATTTCTGTTGCTGAGGCGCAGATGTCCCTTCTGACAAAATGTCCCCAGCAACAAGGGGCGATGAGAGATAGCTGTTCATGAAATGCTAATTCACCAAAGCTCAAAATTTTTCAGGTTCTTTTTCATACCTTTGTGGTTTCACAGTTACTCACAGCTATATACCACCATCTCTCACGATCTGACTTAAAACGTCGATCCCCTAAGGAGCAAGTAAAAATATCAGTAAACCAGTCAATTACCGTATTTCAGCCCAAGCTGAAACCCCAGCCTGTTTTGTTGCAAAAATGCCTCATTTAAGAAATCTGCCGAATTAAGCAAGACAAGTTTCAGTCCACCCTGTGAGCAAAGCTTTCTTCCTAGCATGATGGCTTTTAGCTTTTATGAAGTCATCCACGTGGCTTGTCAGTCGCTTAGCTGTTTTTTTTTTTTTTAAGCTCCAGAGAGAAACTACACAACTGACAACCCACGCAAACAAGTTTATGAATGCCAGAAGCCATGCCAGAAAGAAACCTCTGTTCGTAGGGTAGTTTAAGTCCAGTTTGTGGTAAAGGGGCTAGAATCTTCACCTGTCAGTGATTAAATAGGCAAAAAAACCCTTACTGCTTAATTCCCTTCAGCTTGGGCTGAAACATGAACTTGGCCATACAAACCAGTTTTGCTATGATTAACACAAAACTAGAAGGCAGCTAAGAAGTACACAAGATTTTACTCAGATGAAGAAAATAAAACTTAATCCAACATAAACCTTATCAACTACCCAGGTATTTTTAGCTGCTATTTAATCTACCTATTCCCTGTTTTGTGCATATTAATTCATCAAATAATAATACTATAAATTCTAATCTGCTACCATCCCATGCAATGGGCGGTAAATATAGAGCCATGCAATAGAAGGCTAAAATGCAAGAAAAAGGCATGTCAGTTTTCAATAGTGTCATCTTTGGTTCCACTTTGGTGAACAACACTTGCCAACAAATCCTTCCCACCCCCCCTCAGTTTAAACTTATGGCCACAGCTGCAATAAATTGAAATTTACTAGGTAACTGCTATAAGCAGCCTTGCTTAATGTGGTAAATGTAAACAATATTATGTACTAATTGTATATATATCCCTTCATTATCCACTCCAATAATAATTTAAAATACAGTAAAAACCCACGATTAAGAACCTACATTTTCCAGGGTTAGCCTAAACAGGTTCTTACATAAATGGTGGTTAACATAAATTTAGGCTACCTAGGTTCTTAATAGGTTCTTAATTTCTTGCAAAAAATTATGTCGTTGCTAAGAAGATTTTAGTGATCAGCACCCTTAAATTTGCATACCTAATGTTGCTTATATTAAAATTAATATAAGCAATCATTTAATATGACCATAATAGAGATCTATTCTCACATGAATTTTAATTTCTTGAGTCAAAACAACTTTATATACATGATTGTGCTGTAAAACACAATAATAATTATATGCATGTCAGAATTTTTAACATTAGAATTGACATGTAGCAACTACTCATCCAGATTGATCATACATTTATTATACCATTTCTTTTTAAGTAAATGTTTTTAAATGATTTTTTAAAATAAGAACCTTTCTCCAAATTTTAGGCTTAAGAGGTTCTTATATAGAAGGGGGTCTAAATTGCAAATTTTAGCCTAACAGGTTCTTAAATCTTACAGTTGGTGTAGGTTCTTACTTGTGGGTTTTTACTGTAACGGTTGGGTGGCTTTGCAAGACTGTGTGCATAAAAAATTCATGAACTAATGAGAAATTATAAGGCTCTCTACTGTGAATTTGAGATGTACTTGTGAATTTGAGGGGTGGTTGTCACTGCTAGCATTTGTCTCTGGTGCTTAGTTCACACCCTAGACCCCAGAGGTTTATCAGATTTTAGAGAATACTTTGAGATGGGGTCTATGTTTTTTTTTTGCTCTTATCAAACTAGTCTGACCATGTACAGATGGCACAGCAAAGCAATCACTTTCTCCTCACTTATTTTTAAAAGAACCTGAGTCTTGTTCAACCTGGGAATTTAACACAGGCCTTAAACTACTTCATAGTCAAGGACCCAACCAAAACTAACCATGTGGCGGTATAAACTAATCAAACTGCTAGCCAAATAGGGTATTTAAAAGTGATGGTAAATCATCTAATAGACGCCCAGGGCATCTATTATTTTAATTTTAGGAGCCCATTAGTGGCGGCGTTGAATAGACAGGAGACGTTTAAATGAGAGAGGCATTTAGCATCATAGATGTAACAAACTCCACAAAACTAATATGCTTTTGGCAAATATATCACCACGATTTATAAAAAGCAGAATATTCAGTCCATCAATAATTGATACATTTAGACACATCTAAACCATTTTAAGATTCACACCATTCTTTTAAATCTTGAATGTCAAAATCCTCACCTTGAACTTGACATTAAAGAAGATGCAAAGCGCAAACTCTTGTAGATCAAGCAAAAAACTGAGTAACTGAAGAATTAAATGCTTTGCTCTATATTCCCATTTGTGGGGCATCTACTAGACTTGGGGGCGTTTAATAGAGAGAGACGTCTAATACAAACTTAAAAGCATAGGAAGGGCGTTTATTAGGCATTTATGATTTGAGAGAGCATGTCTATAAGAACAGTTTGTCGAATATCCCAGACAGATAATTAATTAATTAGGAAAAGTGTAAAAATACCAATCTTCTTACCATCACAAACTAGGTATGTTGTTCCCAGCACATCCTTCTCAACGCATCCTGACCATATGTAATTTGTTGTGAGGTTGATAACTTGATTATTTCCTCTATACACCTTGTCTTCTCTATCGATGCATTTCTGTAGAAAATGAATTGAAAATGATAGATTAGGAAGCGTGATAATTATTTGAAGAGATCAACAACCATTATGCTCACCCATCAGGCAACTTGAGATGAAAACACACAATACTCTATAATAATTATGGAAAGGTTATTATTATAGCCCTAAGGTGTCATAAAGGAAGTTTGTTTCTCCCTGGGGCAGTATAGGTAATTCAGATGTTAATATTAATGGAGTAACCTTCATTTTTTCAAATAATACATAACATTTACATGACTGTATTAACCAAAGACAAGTATAAAACTTGGGGTGTGTTTCTCCAGGAGACACCAAGATCAAATTATTATTGATCTCAGATTCTATGAGGCTGGTTTTCACTAGCGATGGAGTCAGAGTTGGAGTTGTAATCAGACAGGAAGAACTTTATGATCTAGTGAAAACATCGTTCTGACTCTGCTTACGACTCCGTCACTTACGATCTAGTGAAAACTAGGCTGTCAGAGTCGCAAGCAGAAGTGGAAGAACTATTACCAATCACAAAGCGTGAGAATGTGCATTTTGATTGGTCTATTCTTCCGCTTCTGCTTCTGACCATGTCAATCTTGTTTTCACTAGATCATAAGCAACGGAGTCATAAGCAGAGTCGGAAGAAAATGGAACATTCTGATTCTTTCCACTCCAATTCTGTTGTGCTTATGACTCTGCTTATGACTCCGACTTCTGATTTTCACTGGGTCATAAGTGCTCTTACGACTCTGCTTACCACTCCGTCTCAAGTGAAAACCAGACTTAAGTTTCATTATGACAAAAGGAACAAATTTCTTTAGTTTCATTTGGCAGCAACATTGTTGCAAACTGGCATAAACATGGCCGTCCTCATATTTTCAGCCAAAAAACTGTTTGACAGATGTATTGACTGAATCCTTTTGTGAGCATTCAAAATCCAGTTTTGGAATTAATTCAAAACACCCCAAATCCTGTTTTTGATTTGGATTTTCCCAAAGAAATAACCCTACAGTTGTAAGTAAAGTAACAACTTAACAATCACAAAGGAATTGTACCTGCTACTGTTAAAGGACAGTTTATATCATGTACAATGTATTTACTATCAGCTGATTAAAAAGGGAGACATTGCAGGAAAGTTAAAATGGCTTGACAGCAGTAGCAGATACTGTACACTAGCTGCTACACTGGCAGCGTTCTTGACAACCAGCTACACATGTATGCAGTGTACAAAAACAAATATTTATTTGTTTGTGATTGGCGAATTTTGTACACCACATATCCAACATTTAAGATGCCTACAGTTGCGGCTTCCAGTATCAAAATTAATTGTTTATTGTTCAACATGTACCACATAGCCAGCTCACCACTATTAAGTTTATGCTTTGTCTCAAAATTAATATTATTATTATTATTTCTACACACTGCATGCCCAGTCCTTAAAACTTACAGATTCTCTCAGGGGGTTACTTCAGATTTTCTAGTAATGGGGATGCTTGAAGAATTTTGGGGGGTTTAATGTTTTCCATTGCGGGATAGTATCTTGGGTGATAGGAAACTTTGGCAAGTAATTTTTATGTGTTTTAACAGAAGTAGGCCGTTTTTGTATATTTAAAAGACTTGCGGAGGTGTCGGTGTATCCCGGACACATTGTTCTGTGAATAAAGTAGAACCAAACTTGTTTTGCAGTTGTTTTGAAAAGTTAATGCATTACATTACATCAGACTCTGCAAAACTGGCTAATTTATTATACTCTGCAAAGTCTCCCTGGTGTATCAAACAAGTTCATTGTATTTAATTTATTTAGTTGATTTCTTATCTACTCTGTTGATGCCCGGCCTTATCTTGGTAGGAAATTCCCCATATTGTAGTGAATTCTTGACGCCTGGGAGTTCTACATGAGATTTTTTGGGAGTTAAGTTTTAGTCCAGGGATTTTTTGGGGTTTTGCTATTTGCCCCAATTCAATTGCCGGTGTTATCTCCATCACTTGAAATCTAGAGTACCCTCCTGGGCTTACTCAATGGGGTCCTCAATATTGTATGTCTATACTTAAGAGGGAGTCCGGCAACTATTGATACTCATCACAACGAGATACATTGTATATTTTTGGATGGCTACATATAAGAAATAATTCTTAAATTATATTTTTTTTCTACTTTGCCACAAAGCCAGTTTTTTTTTAGTTAAGCATGGCAAATGGTAGGCATTCTACAATTGTATAGGAAGAATCAATATATCACTTGCGTGGTTTGCATTGAACCATAACATCTATGTTCGTCACACTGGGCTGTAATCATGACATGGCTAAAATTCACTTCACTAGCTCTAACATAATTTAACAGTAAAAACATGTGCTAGTGCCTATAAGATGATAACTCTTTAAAACGAAAGAGAAGTTAAAGACATAAGCGTATATTATCACAGTTTGGTTAGCTATGAAAAATACGGAAACTTCGTCTAGGGAGAACAGGAGTCATTTTGAAGTTTTAAGTTTATGTTAATAATTATGGTAGCCTACATGTATGCACCTGTATTAAATCTAACCCTATGAACTTTCAACATTCAAGTAAGTTTCGACGCAACCATATAAAGCAAAGCTCAAAGCTATGATCACTATTTTAACTTCCCTATCTTCTGAGACAGTTATGGTATTCTGCCATAAGTAGAAATGACAGCATTGATGTAACCTTATAACAGAGAGCGGATTCAGAGAACATGCACAATTCAATGAGCTTCAATTCAGAAACATGCAATCACAAAAAAAGGGCTTGGAATAATAAACAGTGCTTTTTGAGAGCAAGATCTTACCATGCCGGGTTTAGGGTATACATTTGGCCACTGTGTGTCAAAATACAGAAAAATATTCTCTGTAGCGTAAGCCTGAAAAACAAATAAACAACTTCAGTTTGAAGCAATGTTAATATCCGTTCTTCATGATTCGATCATGTGTTCTCGAACGTAATATAATTCACCTATGTACAGCTTCTCTGAAAATACAGTGTAGTTTCTTACATAGAGCCATTTATTTAGCTCTGTTAGTTATTGTAAACAAATTTTATCGGGGATTCTCAATCACCCACAAGTGGACGTTGAGATAGCAGACAACGAAAAGAGCGGATGTACCTATATTTGCGGTCAGAAGAAGACGAAAAAGCCTTACATCAACAAAATGACAAAACCTAACTTACCAAGGGATATTCAAAATGATATCTTAGACGTCCTATAGAATCCTTATAACAAAATCTACTTAAGAAACTCCAGTCCTGTCAAGAGGAAATAACGGGGGAAAATCATTAGCACAAAAAGTGGACTCCACTACGGAAGAAACTCAAACTTCGTCACCATACAAATGAGTCTCTCACGTCTTTCGTGTTCAACGTTCCTTCTACGATTTTAGGACAAACGCCTCTAACGTAAAGTAACGTAATACAAAGCTGTAACAGATAAAACCGCATCCTCGTCGCCATATTTTGTGAGCACAGTATGGAAATCGAGACGATTAGTAAATACTATTGTTCCTATGATGTGCGCGCGTGAAAGTCGCTAGGTAACCTTTCAAAGACAAACAAACACAGCATCCGTTCGGATGAAACTTTACATGAAAACTACTCTTGAAAATTATTACAAAATTAAGTAAAGTTGTTCAATTTTATGATCGATTTTTCCATTTGCTCGATCAATTTCTTCATATGGCTCAGAAACCTTAAAAAATCGTAATATTTGGAGAGTTGGGACATAGTTAGTATTGAGAATGAGAATACGTCATTAGATCAAATTACACAAAATAAAAAATTTTACTTTTTTTTCCTGAAACAAGGGGAAATTATTATATTTTTTCATATTTTTCTGCTCTATTCTTTTTTCCTTTTTAAGCTTATTTTCATCTTCACGATTTAAGGGAGATAAAAAAGTGGATAGGTGGATGGCCTCTATTTTTAAGGTTTTCAGATTTCAAGGTCTTGTTGAAGTTTTAAAATGAAACTCTAGAAACTATAAATTACAAAATTAAAGTTTATCATAGGGAGAAAACTGATACATTTGTAAACAAAGTGATTGTTATGTTCCTCCATATTTAATGAAGTTTATGCTTTAACCATATATTTTTTTTCCAGATTTAACTCAAAGTCTACCAGAACAAATCTTCATAGTTCGGGCTGTAGATAAATGAGAAAAAAAAAATGAAAAAATTGTTTTTGTTGCAATTCTATAGTAGAGGACAGACCGTCTTTTTTCCAATAAACGTTTTCAGAACCTAATAAATGACTAAAGACAAAGTAAGCAAACAGAGTATGACTCGGCAAACATTTCTGTTGAGAGTTTTTTGGAAAAACTAATGTGTAAAATTATTAAAAACTCTCACAGTATAAAGGGTTAAATTACAGTGATGAGAGAAATAATTTGAAACTTATTTATACTTTCATTTTTTTTCTCGAGGTTTTAGATCTGTTATTACAATCATGTTGGCTAGGGGAAATGATTTTTTGTGGTTACTGTTGAACTCCAGAAAAACTCGGATTAAAAGTGTTAAATCTTGTCCAGTAAAGAAAGCTATCAAAGCTGATCCGTAAAGGTGCTGTTTAAACTCGACCTTCAATTTATCTCTTTACTTTTCTTAATATATTATTCAGTTAATTGTACTTTATAAATTGAGTCAAAGATCGAAGTACATGCCAGGGGCGTAGCATGAGATTTTGAACTTGTACTCACGGGAAGAAAAGTTAGACCGCCAAAGGTACTTCAAACCATGGGGTTCCGGGAGCATGCTCCCGCAGATAATTATTCAAATCAGTTTAGGGGTTCAGAAATGCCATTTCCCGTTTTTTTTCGGCAGGAAATTTTTGCTAAATAAACTCAAAGAAAAATGCAATAGTTAGTTGTTTAATTTACCTCTTAATTGTGATCGGTAGACTGAGAGCGGTTAAGCAGTTACGCCAACAAGGAGATTACAGACGGGCAAAGACGCTATTAAATATAATATGATGGGAAAGATTTGTCAATCATCCCGATTCAATGATAAAAAAATGCTTTCACAAAACAAAAAGATGTATTTTTCAGATTTCAGCTGTAGGCACGGGCGTATGTCATAAAGCACGATCAAAGTCACGTGTGTGTGCTTTGCTTTAAAAAACACTACGATACTAATAGGCCACCGCTACTTAGAGCGCGCGCAATTCATGTGACGACATATATAATAAAAGAACATTTGTCAAGCTTCATTCGAGCTCCCAAAGGTTGACCCCAGGCACAATAATGGTTGTAAATTCTGTGGTTTCTTAGATTTCCTGTCGCTATTTAGTTAGCTTGTGCCAGGCTCTCAGCGTTTTTCGCATTTCTTTTTACTGAACGACTTTTCACCACTATCTCGGAGCCTGGAACAGGCTACTATTTAGTGGGTAAACGAACTTGTTACATGGTGAAAAATGCTTCCAATTAATTCAATATTGAAAGCAAGGACCAACTTTCAAAAAAGAACGGCTGGATCCTAATAAACGATCTAATGCAGCTATAACTGGAAATATAGAAACAAAAGAAGCAAGGCTGATTTTACATGTCGGAAATAATATATTTCTTTTACTAATACCGTAAAATTCCGAAAATAAGCCCCTCCAAATATAAGCCCCCCGGGGGCTTGTACTTGGAAAATTGCCCTCAAGTACCAAGTAAACAACGCAAAAACGGTAAATCTATTTCGAACTATAAGGCTAGCCCAATCGATTTGTAAACGCAAATTTCCCCCCGTAGATAAGCCCCTCCAAAAATAAGCCCCTCAAAAAGGGCCTTTGAAAAATATAAGCCCCGAGGCTTATTTTCAGAATTTTACGGTATTTCGTAAGGCACAGCCTTCCTCCAGGGTTTTACATACAATGATAAAGCTAACCCAGCTAAGACATGACAATATACCGTGAAATATGATGCTATAATAACACGTGAAAATTTACATAAGGAGAAAGTGAACGTTAAAAGTCTATGAAAATAAAAACCGTTGAAGTAGTGGTAGGAAAGAAATTCGAAATGTAAAAATAGTATAAATGAAATGATAACAAACGGAAGAAATACGAATGCATTACATTTCATCTTTCACATTGTCCTAATAGTTCAAGAGTAATGCCCCTCTCGATAAGGTATGCTTCTCTAGCTTTTCGTACACTGTCTCTATTCAGATTTGATGATTTTAGTGGAATAAGCGTGATGTCGTTAGCAGAGTGATCATTAGTGAGAAAGTGTTCTGAGACTGTGGTGGGTTTGGAGATATCACTAAGATGGGTTGTCAAGTAGTCTGCGGTGTTCGTTGAAACGGTCTTTGAGTCGTCGTCTGGTTTCACCTATGTATTGTTTGGAGCAGTAGTTGCATTGTATCTTGTAAATGACGTTTTTTGAGTCTACAGTCGATGTGATGAGTGATAGGTCTGGTTTCACCTGCAGAGTGGAATGTGTATGAAGTTTTTCCGTCAGATATGTATTTGCAAGTAAGACAGTTTTTTCCGCGTGAGTATGAGCCCCTGGCTGGTTGTGTTGTGTGGGATTGCGAAGTTTGGCCCTAACTGCAAAATCGCTGAGGTTGCTACTACGTCTATAAGCTACTCAATGGGTGCAGCTTTAAAGAGGTTATAGCAACGGGGGGATGAAATAAGGATGTGAAAGTGTACATGTTTGCGAATAATGGACGATATGGAACAAAGGGCTGTGTTGTAGGTGATAACGAAGGGAACACGTCCTGTTTTGTCCAGTGTGGAAGTGTCATGGGGCATAAGTGCTTCTGTCCGTATGATATTGTTAACTCGTTGTACTTTGAAGGAAATAGCGGTTATAGCCACGTTTGTAAAGGTAATCGATAATTTCATTGGTGCGGAGTGTGAAAGTTTCGTTGGCCGAACAAATGCGGGTCTAAACCAAGACTGAAAAGCTACTGAAAAAAAATAGCACGTTTGGTACACAGGTATGTATGGGATGACATGACGAATGTATAATAAGTATTGGTGTTTGTCGGTAGGTTTGGTGTAAAGGTCAGTGACGATTTTGCCATCATCTTGAAGTGAGACGTTGACATCGAGAAAGGGTATGGACCTGAAGAAAACATCGCAGTGTATTTTATGGTGGAGTGAATGTTATTAAGAAAGGGAGTGATTGTGTTGAGGTCCTGTACTGATCGTGTCCATATCATGAAGATGGCGTCTATGTAACGCCACCATATGAAGTGGTTTACATGGGACTCCTAATGACAATTTATAGATCTGCTTTGGGTTCATCCCTTCGTCTTACCGAGACATTGTTGTGACCCCAAACGGACTCATTTCCGTTTCATTTTTTTTTAACCCAAAGTTCAGCATTGTTTGGGGGTGGGAGGGGGAAGGTTGCCATTTTTTCACTGGGAAGGTCCCTACACTTCTGACCTCTATTTTGGCCATACGTTTGTCAGGATATCTTAGCAAATATCTCCAGCGTTGTAATTTCAAATCGGAACACTCTTATCGCGGCACTCTAATTGCGCGAAGTTTGGCACATTGTGGCGCGCGCAAACAGTTTCAAATTATTTTCGCATGACTGTAAATAAACTGAACTGCCCAATAAAGAGGCAAGTCACAAAGAACTCGTGATGCGTAGGATTAGGGCTTTCCACAAGTTAATTGAGATTTTCCAAAAAGTTGCTCGTAATTTCTCAAAAAGTTGTTCAAAAGTTGCTCAAAAAGCAATCAAAAGTTTTTGTATCGAAAGTTTCTCAAAAGTTGCTCGGAAAAACAAAAACGTTTTTGGTCTGATGCTAAAAATATGCAAATTGTACACCAAAAGTCGCGAAGATGTGTTATATAAACAAACACAATGATTTTTTAAAAAATTAAAGTTAAACTCCGTTTCTCTAATCAGACACTTGCGGATTGCAATGCCGCCAATGAAAAATCCCGTTCTCGTTGAGAGTGGCTTCAGATCTAAGTTCTTAGCTTCGGTTGACGAGCTACGAGGCGGGTGCCGCAGCAGAACTTTAGCAGCTTTGTTTACTCTGAAGGATCTGTAATTCTGATATTATAATATCATCGTACTTATCCCCAAAATAATGTCTCCGTAATCAAATAGATTGAGAATTAAGGCAGGCTTTCTTCTCGAAAAATGCAAAGAATGCGTACTCTATAACTGCGGTGATCTTCTTTCACATAATTCTTCACCCCGCAGTTCCTTTATATGATTTTTCACATCAGTATTGATTATTACAACTCTGATATATATGTAGCTCAGTGACGTTTCAGTGTTCATTAATGTTTACCAATTCCTCGTGCAGGGCCCTGGTTTGGAAATTATATAACGTAGATTCACCCAGTTCTCTGCCTATGAGAATTCGGTAAAAACCCGCGACTAAGAACCTAGTATTTAAGAACCTGTTAGGCTAAAATTTGCCGGAAACAGGTTCTTATTTTCTGACATCTTAAAAAAATTCTGTGCACTTGGACAAATAAGATAAGTCAACATTCAGTATCCGCTTTGGAGACAATGCTGCCTCATTGCTCCAACTGCAATTCTAATAGTATACAGGTTTCACCTAGTGAATGAACTAAAATCTGCTAAATACAACGTATTTTTTTGTTCGGAAAATAAGAACCTATTTAAGAACCTAAATGGCCTAAATTTGTGCTTATTACCAATTATATAAGAACCTACATTGAGGCTAACTTATTGGGAAAGTAATTCAGGTTCTTAGTCGAGGGTTTCGATTCAGTTACTCTATTTTCATCTCTGCAATTCGTACGCAAAGAAGATATGCTTAGAAAAAGAGGCTCTGATTGGGGAGGGGGGCTTATACTTCGATAACACTTAATAGTTTAATTTTGTTTCTCTAAAAAACTTAACCACTAAAAACTCTAAAACGTAAAAGGCGTTGAAAAGTTTTGGTAACATTCAATTTAAATGCTAAAAACGATGAGCTTCAGAATAATCGGAAATGAAACTCGATACTTGCTATATAAGTTCCTTCAAACAACCGTCAAACTGCATTCCGTGTTGTGACCACTTTCACTTATACATTCAAACTGCTAAACCGAATTTTAGCACCTCTGTTTCATTCTCTTCGAGCGATCGATCAGTAGTAAGCGGCCGAGCTTTTGTTATTTTTCACAGCGCGAAGTTGGATTGAAGTGCGACAGCTCAGAAGACAATCGTAAGTAAAAGTACAGAGAAGGATTTGAAGTCAAATTTAAATGGTGCGAACTGACAACATGGCATTTTTAACTTCAAAGTTTTAATAATATCATTTGGGTTTTCAGTACCCCTTGGTTGTCCTTCTCAAAATGTATTAATGTAATCTAAGAACTGATTTTAGAGGCTATTGTTGTTTTACTTTTGCAGTTTGAAATTCACAAAGACTCTATAATGACATACGCATTAGCCGTGCGAGAGATATTTGCTAAGTTTTATAGCATGAAAGCTTTGCCTCCTGGATGTAAAACTGAAGAAATATATTTGCCTCTAGTCAAAGCAGTCTTGCTTCCTGATGAAGAGCTGCTCCCCTGTCACTACGACACCAAAAAGTGAAAAAAGAGAAATTTTCAGTTATTTCCTTGAATTTATTGTCAATTTCAAAATTCTACTAGCTTTAATTGTTTTTATGACGCTCAAAAATTTTCGTTCACCCCGTGAAAAGAAACACGACCAACAGCTGCTTCGTCGTGCTTTGCTTCTCTGTGTTTTGTTAAAAGCTACATCAGTCCATATTTAGGGTTTCGTTTCCGGAGAAATGGTTGTCGTGAACACCAGAAATAAAATTAACATAATTCAAGGAATAAATCACGGATATTTTTATGTCTTAGTCATGTTTGTGGCGATTTACGTCTTCTGGAGGAAAATAAATGAAATATTGACTGTGCATGCACGTTAAGCATGGCATGGGTACTCTATAACTAGTCAAATATGCCCGTATTTTTTAGCCATTATTTTTCGACCTATTCCACGAAATCTGAAAAGTTAACGTTCCCGTTATTTTACGAAAAACTGCTCAGCCTCAGCCAAAAGCTGCAATTTTTAAAATTAAAATTTAACCTTAATTTATTCATATAGTTTCAGCTCAAGACAGCTGAAATTGACAGAGCAAAAACCTCGAATGAACTCAGGTCAAGGTAAACTGTTAATATATTCCGTTTCACTTTTGTGAGGCTGTTGATATCGTAACCGCATTCATTGTATCTCGAATAACTGGGGAAAAACAAAATTCTTTTCTAGTGGATTTTCTAAAGTCTAGCGTCGCACCAGTCCAGGTAAATTGCGCTTAAAGATTTGATGCGATTTATAAACAAACAATAGCCTAACGTAGTGTGCGATAGCTTTACAGGGATTTTCATTGTTGGTTTTTATAAGCTATAACTCGACGGTTATATTCGAGAAAATACCGTTTGAGCGCAACGTTTTCTTTCTTCCCTTTTTAGTCTAGCTGAAACTTTTATCTCACCAGAGTTTTGTGGAACAAAACATGCGTACATATAGAGAGAGTATATATAAATCTGTCTTGTTCAATTTGCGTGATGATCCAGTATTTTTCTCTTCTTGAACGGAAAAACAAGCATGGCTCAAAACAGCTCCCAATAGCAAATGTGTGATCGATTGAACTGATGGAACATTGCTCAACTTCAAATAGAAGAAAATTAAGCTGTATTGCTTAAAACTGGGTTGCTATATAATGGTTTCACTTTGTCTGGTTTTAGTTTTTCTCGCGGTGAACTGACGATCAAAGCTGCGCTGGTCAAGAAAAGCGAAAGAATCACTGCCACCCATGTGATATTTTATTCATGTTTTGGTTTATTTGCCAATTCTGAGTAAAGCATGGCTGCAGGGTGAGTAAAATATATCATGAGCCCATACACGGAGCAGCAAAACAGATTTTAAAAAAAGAAAAGAATCGATCTGTTTATATTTTGCTCGTTTTTGTAAAACACATAATATCATGAAAACTCAAATCATAATAACTGCTATGTACACCCGCCCCTAGCCCCAGACCGACGACAATCTTTTTACTGTCAATTGTTACAGTCTAAAAAATTTCTGAAAGTATTGCAGTTTTGGGTTTAGAAATTTTAGCTCGATCGAACAGTCGTCAATGAAAATATTAGCTGGATTCGAAATCTTTTCCGTGCGCGGAACAAGAGTTTTAGTTAGCCATCCTAGTGGGGGGTCCAGAAACCTTACATCACACTTCAGATAAAAACTATTACAGCGCGATTTTTATTCAAATGTTCACAGCGTGGGAATTCATCTAAAAACCACGAGTACCATACCTATCGACTCCAAAAGCAGTTAATCTGTTTCTAGCACCTTCAGCTTTCCCTGCACATTCGCAAATATTTTCGGTAGGGTGAAAACTTTCCTGACGTGAAATTACATTTTTTTCTCCAATCTTAGTCGTAAAATTCACAAATCAGGTTTTTTAGCATTTTATTTCTTACTCAAAGAGAATTATTTACGATGGGCGTCTAGAACAAAAAGCTTAGCTTGCCTTGGCATATGATAATATTTTAGCTCTCTGTCTCTAGAATAATTTATGATTGTCAGTTTTGACAAGCTGTCGATTCGAATTCGTTTTAGCGACAGTCATTTAAACGAAAGCAATACATTTCACATATTTTAATTTATTAATTGAATTATTTCGTTCTCTATGCGATATGATTCGAACAGCACCCAACAATATTTCGTCTCGTTGGGCTCGCTGTTCGGCAGGAATTCACTGTTTTGAGTTTCCGTGTATTTATCAGTCGCTCGCTCGTTGATTGGTTGTCCCGTTGTTTAGAACTGACAACGCCACCGCTTTTAGATAGGTCACACTTTACACATGTGAATGAGTTGTATCGCTGACCAATCAGCAACGACAACCGTTCCATTCACGAGAGGCAAGCAGATTGTAAGTTTATATTTCGAATTCTCTCTCCATCGGGAACGATCGTTCAAGGTAGTTCTTGGCCTTACGTTTGATAGATCTTTCATCTTTTCAGTTAAAATTATCATTTCGCATCTGCGGCAGCAAGAAATTTGTCTCACGATCGCCGATTTGTCTTCGATCGAATACGTCGTGTGTAAGCTTAAATGCAAATAACATGTAAACTTTTTCATTCCGTCCGATTCTCATATTTCCAAATCGCCGGATCGTCCAATCTTCTGTTGAACTAACACGGTTTTATTTTATTTTTGCAGGTATGCAGATGAAATCCTGAACTTTGAAGGTAAATACTAGAAAAATTCACTTGGGTGAAAATTTACTTTCGAGCGGACATGCCCGGGCTTATTGTAGAAATTTTTTTGTTCCGATTGACGATCGTGTTTATTGTGTTAAGGAATTGTAGCGAAACCGACAGAAACACAACTTCTGAACGAAACATAACTGCTTTCAGCGAGGTAGATCGAAGATTTGATCGGTTTTTCTGTTCGAACACAACTCTGACAAGCAATCGAGTGATTACAAGGGTCCAAGGTTGTCATCTGGGTCCGTAATTTTTTTTGGCAACATTACTCTCGACTACTGTAACTTTACTCTTGGCGTTGGAAATTATTTTCTGCTTCACTCAAAGTGCATTTCAATCTGTACCTTAGGCTTACTTCCGACTCAAAATTCCGTCAGGGTGATTTTTGCCGTAAGATCTGCGGATCACCAGCGTTCCGTTCCCTCTTCAGTTCCTATTTTTAATTTTTTCGAATATTCATGTTTGATGCAGTCTTCAGATTATATCTCGGTCTCAAACCTTGTGCCCTCGAATACATTTATTTGCAATTTCCCGGCAGATCTTTTTCGAAATTGGTTCGTCTGTTCATTTATAGTATTTTTCCCTGCGCTTCGCTAAATGTTAGTAGAATCATATCGGAATTACATAGTCTAAAGAGTTCGAGCGGATAACTATATTCTTATGGTTACAATTTTTTTATTTGTGTTTACCTCCGATATCGTGTTGTGTTTGACAATTTTAGTTACCCTCGAATTTTAAATTACTATGCCCATATTTCTACATATTTCATAAGTTCAATACGTCTAAAGTTTTGCATTCGATCTTGTTTTTGATTGCTAGCAATCTGGCTCTCTGAGTTCAAAAAAATAATATGTTAAGTTTTATTTGTCTGAAGGATATCAACAAATGTTTATTCATGAGTAAAATTAGCTTTTCTCTATCTTAACTCGATTTATAGCGGTCGTGAAAATCTATGTGGTTTAAATGCTGATTTTTATTTTTTATTTTTTTTATAGAAAACATGAATCGAAAAGGAAAGATTCGACGTGGAAATCCGCCAAAAAAACTCGATGAAAATGGCGTTGCACTTTTAGAAAAGATCGTGGGACGTGATAATCAAGACATTTTAAATGGAAATAATCAGCTGTCAAGGAATACAGTGAAAAGAAATCTGTCTAAAGAAATAGAGGAAGAATCTGGTCGGGAAAGAATAAACTACCATTCATGGAAAGAAAAATGCCGCTCAAAGGAAGATAACCTCGGTGATGCTTTTGTTCCACCGAAATGTGCGACACCAGCTGTTTCCATCGCTGAGAATGTCAAAGCGAAATCGCCACAGAAAAGGAAAAAAAGCCTCGATGAAGGGAATTCAGTTAAGAAAATTGCAAGTGGTTGCGATGTTTCGGGTGCAAATAATTTAAACATCAGTAGCAATTTAAAGAGAGAAAACAATTCAACTGTTGCTAGGCACTTGGCATTTTTCAATGGCACCAGCACATCTAGTAATTTAATTGAAGACGAAAACACTGACAGTGCAATATCCGATGAAGAAATTGAAGGTGCCAGTGTTTATGGTAAACTTAACAGCAGGCAGAGAAGCCAGAAAAAACCCACCCGTGGGAGTCAAGTGGAAAATATAGTTTCTCGGACTCCCACCCCTACTCAACAAAAATATAAGAAGGGTGATATTGTGCAGATGGAGAACGGTGTTCGAAAAAAATTCAATGGAAAACAGTGGAGACGATTATGCTCCAGGGAAGGATGCAACAAGGAGTCGCAGCGCCGAGGATATTGTTCACGGCACTTGTCATTGAAAGGAAAGACGCTTACAAAAGGAGTTGGGATTCCAGGACAAAAGAAGGGGAAATTGCATGGGGAAAAACTTACATGGGAATCTGGGAATGAGAGCGAAGGAAGTGTAGAGGGAGAGGTTTCAAGCAAGGGATCTGGTCATCACAACATTGACCTCAATGATAAAGAAGCAGAGGCAGCCTTTTCACTTGTTTCTCTGAGTAATTCAAGGTGTGCTACACCTGCAACGCCTTTGCCAATCTCACCTGGTCAATGCCCCTCACCCTCCCCGTACAGCTGTTATGGCAATACGCGCAGCACAACTCCGGGCCAGCATCGGTCAGTTACTCCAGTGAGGACTTGGGTGGGTGCAACACCGCGCTCGGGGAGGTCATCAAGTGCCGAGCTTCTATCACCTTTCCCAAATGGATTGTCATTATCAAATGCGATTAGTCCAGATTCTGGTATTATCTGTCGAGATGAGTCTGGAAGTCGGGCAAGTAATACCTCTTCTCTGATGTCACCCGTTCCTCTACTTTCTCCTATCACCCCGACAAAAAGAACGTTCTCTCCCATATCTCCTCCAGCTGGCTCAGCCTATCGTTCATTTTCTCCTATACCTCGCACCCCTCCTGCAATATCAGGAAAGCGGACATTTTGTCCTGTGTCACTCCCAGCACCTTCTGCCATTACCCCTCCTAGAGATAAAACAGGCAGAGTCATGTACTCACCGATACCCACCCAACCTCTGCCGCTAACGTCAAACAGCACATTTGTGCCATTTTCACAAGAATCAAATAAAAAATCCCAAGATAATGAAAAAACAACTGATGAAAGGAATGACGAAGATCAACAAATGGCTTCTAATGCTGAGCCTGTTAAGGACATTGTTGAGTCAAAAGATGATGAGAAGTTAAAAGCCGCATGCACAGAGGTTAGAAATACTCAGATTGATCAGCACAATGCTGATTCAACTGAAATAATTACCATGGCTCAGCTTCCACCAGTGCAAGTAAATACCATTCAGATAGCTGTCTTCCCATGGCAGTGTTTAGTCCCACAACTGATCAATGTTCCTGCAGACAGTTTGACTCAAACAAGCACTAGTAACATTTCAAACTCACAGCTGGAAGTACAAAAAAATGTTTTAAATCAGGCAAATGGATTGGAAAGTGGTGGAAATGTGCTGCCACTAAAGACTGCTGATGGAGACGATAGTTCATCAGCAGGAGAATTAAGGAATGGAACTGGAAATTCAATAATTACTGGGCCAAACACAAGAAAAAGAGCTCGCTCTGTCTCTGTTAGTAGCGATGGAAAGCCTGCCGCCAAAACTGTGGTAAGCAATCTTGAAATAATAACCGTTGTGTTCTAAAAATATATATGATAAGTTCTAGAAAATATCCATACTCTCTTTTTCTCTCTAAAGAAGGGATTCCAAAAACCCACAGGAAAAAGTGACGGATTCCCATTTTTGGATATTTTAGGGTATTTAAAGAATACCCCCAAAAATCCCAAATTTGGAAGAGTGAGACAAGTCCCAATCAGGGAACTTGGTTGGGAATTCCCTGGTTGGGACTTGTCTCACTTTGCCAAATTTGGGATTTTTATGGGTATTCTTTAAATACATAGGCGTACGGGCCGGGGGGGCGAGGGGGGCTGCAGCCCCCCCAAATTTTGGGTAACTCAGATTTTTTGGGCAGCGAGAGAAAATTTGGGCAAAGTCAGTTTTTAAAGACGTCTCCATGTTTATTTAATTTAATTATTTTGAAGACCTGAATATTAACCTGAAGTCGGCGTAATAATCCAGTTACGTTACAGTGGTTGCCTAGCATGTGATGAGTAATTTACATATTTGTAGTTTTTTTATTGTTGGGCACTCTACTGCACTGCACTAGCTGGAATGGGCTATTTCCAATCGTGAATTGCGTAAAATAAACTTTCGCATAACTCTCTAGAATCATCTCCACTCGAGGAACAGTGTATGGCAGATAGCATCAGCAATGGGTATGAAAATGAAGAAGTGGCTGACTACTGAATTCTCATTTTCAATTAGTATAGCGAGAAGAATCTTAATTCTTTTAAAAAACCTATCGAGCGGTTCCATGAAATTATTCGCTAATTTGTTAAAGTAGACCGAAATGTTTACAAAACTGCTAAAAAGAGTGCCTCGATGACTAATCAAATCCTTCTTTCGATTCTAGCAATCAAGCAGAGCTATCTCCACGATCTTTCACAAATGTTTTTAAAAAGATCAAAACTACTATGAGGTGAAATTGCATGTCAAAAGCGCTTCGTTTTTTACAGATAACGGCCAAACAACAAGATTTTCCTTTTCTTACCGTATTTCTAATAATAAAAACGTCATTCCAAAATATCTTGATAACGCTCTTAAGGTTTTGTTTAAACTTCACGAACATCAAGGTGACCGTATTAGAGAAAAATGCTCCTGTGAACGATTTTGTAAGGTTCCCCGTGCCGAGAATCATTGCTGAAGGAAAATAGGTAATTGGTTCATTTCGTTGCTATGACAGCTCCAATGTCATTGCAACCCTGATGGTGACAAATTTTCATTTTAATACAACGGACGTCGCAATTTTTCAAATGTTTGTTTATGGCGACGTAGTTTATGCTCAGACTTGGTATTGACCCTGAAAAACTGTATCGGGTACCTTCATATGCCAGGACGGCCTATGTTGTTGCAATATGGCCCTCATTTCTTTTCGACTCTTTCGTAAAAATTTGGGCAACTTACCAGAATTTTTTGGGCAAATGGTTTACCGCCCCCCTGGCAAAAAATTTCCCGTACGCCTATCCAAAAATGGGAATCCGTTACTTTTTCCTGTGACCCAGGCTAGGTATTGGGGGGTGGGGGGGGGGACATGGAAGGGTAGGATATTTTTGGGAACTATAGTTTGATATTGAATAAGTCAAAAAGAAAAAAGCGGTTAATTAAACCCCTGCTCATTTGGGTATGGTCTAAGAGATTTCTTCCCCCTGCAAATAACAGTCGGTCTTTGGACATTGGCCGACCAAAATTTGCATAGTGTCCGACTAAATCCCACCTGTGTTTAGACATAATATCCGGATAATTTTTTTTTTATCGTAAATCATTTTATGGTAAGGAAGAGTAAGAATCTTGACAACCTTGAGTAAATCTTAGGACATGTTAGGACCATCTCAAAGTCACGAAACAGCATTAGTGTAGTATGTCCTCTGTTTTACCCGATATAAAGTTCAACCTTTTTTGGTGATGTCTGACCAAAATTTTGTTTTGTCCGACCAAGATGGTATCTTTAGTGGGACAATTAATTTTATTATGTCCTTTCAACAGAGAAAAATCATTTTCAACCCTGCTGTTTACTTTGTACAGCCTGTAAGTTAGGTGTTGATGACCGGTGAAACTGTATATATGGGTTATACATGGGATTAGGGTCTGCACAGGTGGTTGGGGGGGGGGGTGGGGGGGGGGGTTGGTGAAAATGGGTCAAGTTTCAATCCCTGATAACATCTCGTATGCAGCGTCACTTTGTATAGATGCTGAATTCAAACCTTTGTAAGACAAACACCAAATCTCACCAAAGGGGTTAAAAGCCAAACATGCATCACAGAGATGCCTCCCCCCAACCTCCCCTCCCTCACCCTCCATTGGAAATGATCAGGAAAAAAAGAATTTCACTACTTTTTTTAGAATCTCCAGACTTTTATTTGTGAGTCTCCATATTTTCCTTTATCAGGGGTTGGCAGGTCTGTAAGTATATTAATCAGGTTCCACTGGTTGGCGGTTTGAAGGCACCTGGGTACGTAGATGCCACTCTCAGGGAAATTGTCAAGGTTATGCATTGCGTTCGCCTGCCGTCCATGGCTCCACCGGCCTCCTAGGCACCTCCCCCCATGCTCATCTCTGTTGATGAGTTTAATGTAATATATATTTTTTGAGTTCAATATTTTTTTTTTTCAGGCCACTGGGAATCAGGCAAAACAAGAGAAAGAACACATCCGCCGGCCAATGAATGCCTTTATGATCTTCAGCAAACGTCACCGAGCCCTTGTCCATCAGAAACACCCCCACCAAGACAACAGAACAGTGAGCAAGATACTTGGTGAATGGTGGTATAACCTGAGCCCAAAAGACAAGCAGAAATATGTAGATCTTGCAGCACAGGTGGGCCTTATTGTTAAATTTTAAAATTTCCCTTAAATGTGAACTTTTATCAAAATATTCTAATTAAAATGTGTCATCCTATTTTTGTAAGTATTTTTTGTATATTAAGTTTTATTATTCTTCTCTTTTCCTGTGTCCTAGTTTATATTGTAGTTTATTTTGTAAAATTGCATCGTCTTTTCTGTAATGTTTTGTCTTGACTTTAACTAATGTACAAGGGAGCCTGGACCCCATATAAGTCCTAGGCGTCCAATTCGGGCGTCCTCGTCATTGTTCCAAAGGAATGTCCCCTTCCTTTTCTGTTGCACAAATGAAAACTGAGATTGGGATCTTTAAATCCATGCATTAAAATACATGGAATTTTTCGCCCTTTGCCCTTCTCAAAGTGATATTTAAAAAAAGCTTCCTATAGTAATAGCTGTTAGTTTATTTTACGTGTAAGGTGTGTATAGTTTCCATTGTAGAGGTCCCCTAAGTGGGTTTATGTATGTCTCTCATCTAAATTTCAAAGACAGTCATTTCGTGTTTTGAAGAGTGGGTCATGTCTTTGTCTGTATAGGCGAATCTTTGTTGACACTTTTTGCCTCATTAACATATGTGCATCACTGTATGATGACGCTAATAGAATAAAAACTTTGAATATTGAAATGGCATAACAGTTTCAGTTATCTCTGAAAATTTGAGCCCAATACAGCAAATGGTTTCGGATAAATTCTCTTCTAAAAACTCCAAATTTTACTTTTTTGCCACACAGCAATTTCGCAGTTTTTGATAGCTGATATTTCCTTCAATATTGCTTGCAAAGAGCTGAAAATTGCACAAACTGCTCAACTTAATCAGCTCTTTCAACTTTTGCATTTGGTTCATACATACCGCCATGGCTTCTGTGAGTTAAGTCGTATGCTAATGAGGAAAACTGTAAACAATGATGTCAGCAAAGATTCGCCTATTCAACCCATCTTCATGTCATTTGTCACCATTTCATCTAGTACATCTTCTGTCGCTGTTTAAAGGCCACATCACTTGTCGCAATATTACCCCAATATGGTCTCATTGTACCACTATTTTTTTTTCAGGTCAAAGAGGAGCACTTCAGGACTTATCCACACTGGAAGTGGTGCCAAAAAGACAGGAAAAAATCCCCAAGAAAAGGTTCAGATATAACGGAGTCTGCTGATTCAATGAGTATGTTGTCATCTTTTTTTTATTAATTTGACTATAAGTTCAAGATGAGAAAAAGTAAAAGTCTAAAAAAAAGTATTATTACACCATGTAGACATTTTGATCCAGCTCTCCTGAGAGACTTCCTTGTAGAGGGCCTGCCAGGGTAAATTCCGCAAAGCGACAGTGCGTAAAATGAAATCGCGACAACAGACAACCTCCCCCGGCCAAATTGCGACAGTGACGGCAAAGCCGACAATAAGCGACAAGCATTTATCAACACCGACAGGAGACGTTTTAAAATTCAGACGGGCAACATGGGACCCCCCCTGGCAGGGCCTCCTTGTACTCTCAAAGAGACTCTTAAGAGACCTCTTGTAAGAGACTTGTTAAGGATCTCGTAAGAGACCTCTTAGCCTGCGAAAACATCCGTTTCTCCTCGCTCTTCATCGCTGGGGACGTTTCGCGCGGAGGAACGTCTGCAACTCAGCGACAGAAATTCCATACTGATGACGCAAATCAGTGTTTACATAATAAATCCGGTAGTCATGGGGTTCCAAATATAAATTTGTCTAATTTTGTGTGTCTTCTGGTCCATTTTGGTAAAGTGCTGTGTTGATCTGCCCACGAGCTTCAGCAAAACTCAAATGCTTTTTCTAGAGAAGGCTATATTCCACAAATATTGACGGTTTTGTTAGAGATTCTTCGCGTTTACATTTGACCTTTGTGGCCTTTTGTCTTTTGTCTGTCATTCATAAACAATAGCTAAAACAATGTAACTGCTGCGTCGACCAATCAGCGCTTCTTCTTTACGTCATCAGTATGGAATTTCTGTCGCTGAGTCGCAGACGTTCCTCCTCGCGAAACGTCCCCAGCGACGAAGAGCGAGGAGAAACGGATGTTTTCGCGGGCTAGAGACCTCTCTTTTGATCCAGCTCTGGTACATAAGAGACCTGTAAATCTTTAGTAATTAGCATTTTGGGTGGTTGCTTGCAGTACATAACTTCGACTGTACGTAGGTATAATAAAGTATCAACAGCTCTCAGAAGGTAGTTTTTATTGCCACTAGGAGGTCTGTGACACTATATAGCTAGGTACTGATGTTGTCTGAGATACACAGAACTTAATGGAATCCTGATTTTTCAAACCACCATAGGGAAAGCAAATTGGTTTGAATTGTCGAGAGGTTTGAAAAATTGGGGGTAAATTTATAGTGTTTGAGTGGTCAACCTGGGAAGTTAGATTTGAATTTTCAGGAGTTTTGAAAAAACCAAGGATTTGAGAATGCGGTATTCTACTGTATATAAAAAAATATCACAGCATCTTGTCACTGACTACTCCTTGCTTCCAGTGATTTGTCATACTATAATATTATTAATCATTACTATAACAAAATTTCCAAATCTCATTGGCTGTCAACTGTCCTGATTTCAGCACTAATAGGACAGTGTAATAGGACGGTACATGTCATGCCTAAGTAATTGGACAGTACTCGCCATTGAGTGCACATACTCAAATGCTTGCAAGAAAACTCGTGGAATTTTTCACGTTTTTTATTTTCAAGAGGGCAAGAACATCCCAAAAATTAATTTTGTTATAGTTATAGATAACAGAACTTCATTTCGTCCAATTCTGTCTGTGATCATCCTCGTGATGGAACAAATCGGAGTCCCGCTATGCTGTCATCTGATTTTGTTAATCACTCATATGGTTGTTGGATAAAAAAAGTTAAAGAAGTGTATCAAAATCGCTTCTTATTCGTACTCATATGATTACAGACCTAAGTGGACTCCATTCAGTCTTATTAACTACAAGTCTCTTGACTAGGAGCCAGTTTGTTTTTCTGTTTGGATGAATTTCCACCCAACCAACCGTCTTTTCTGTCTTTTGTCATCAGGTGATGGTATTGAATTTCACACTGATGTCACAGTGGGCAGTGAAGATCAAGAAGTATGTTTTTGTTGTTGTTGCCTTTTGTATGTCAATATTCTACTGTGGTGACCATATTGTTAAGCCAGTAAAAGTATAAACCACACTGTTTTGTTGTATTATTGTGTGGTGATCACAAGAAGAGTCGTCCAACAATTTTTCTTCCTTTTTTTGAAAATTCTTTTTTTTCTTAGCCTATGACAGTTTGAAAATTTTAAAATTTACAAGGATTTGTATGGAAAACCTATCACCATGACTGTGTGTTAAGAGTTGTTTTTCCTACACAAATCTTTCTAATTTTGTTGTAATCCTTACTTTTGGGATAAGTGGCTGAAAATTTACGCATTAGCTACACTGTGATTTTCATATACTAATTCAGTTCCTCCTAATCATTTTTCCAAAAAGAGTTGTTTTGTGTTAACGGAAAGTTGATCAAGTTGCCAACTATTACAAAAGGCCTATTTGTTTGCAACAAATTGTGTTTCAAAAAGTAGATGAGTAGGGACCTTCTCTCAAAAGTGATCCCTGTGGTTTGATCCTCGTAAGTCACCACCTCCTGCAGCTACTAAATCTTTGAAACAGGAGGTTTCACTAATATTAAATAGCTCTCTTTGAAGATGTACGTATGTTCTGTTCCTAGGGCGTCTTTGATAGTGACTGCGATGTAACCACAGATGCAAAACCAATGCTAAGAAGTAAACGCTCTCAGAGCACTCCTGCACATCAACAGGAATCTTGTCTAAAGGATGTGCCTCGTTCATTTACACCACAGCCGACGCCTCCAACACAACACTCACTCTTAGAACTTGCACAGGTAACTGAGTCGCTGACAAAGCTGAAAATAATTTTCTTCAAATCTTTCTTCAGTTGAAAGGACACAATGACCGGCCACAGAAAGTTTTGCTCGGTCAAGTCTTGTTTCTGAGCGGTCAAAATAGCGAAAAGAAGTAATGAAAACTTAAAACTGTGCCATTTGCTTGTTCAAGTCGTCGCCATACTATTTAAAATGTGGCTTAATGACAAAACGGCTTAAGACTTAACCAAAGATAGCCTAAGATTATTTACAGTTGAGGATTTTTCTATTCGTTCAAGTACAAGAGTGTTTGTGATCGGTCAACATGACCAGCAAGTGAGGTTTTTGGCCAGTCAAGTCACCATTCTGGCCGGACATTGTACGTTGACCAGACGTTATTTTGAGCCCTGTAATAATATTATATTCCATCTTATTTTTAGATGTGCTCTGAGCTTGACAATGGAGAAGTGTCCACTGTAACTGATAGCAGACCAGTATTATCTGAGGAAAGACCCACCACATCTGAACAGGACACTAATGATACGCTCAGTGAGTCAGAAGATGACGACATTGGCTCAGAAGAGCTGATGTGTAATGAAAACATTGACGTTAATGACAAAGAGTCTGATGACTCGGACGATGAAGAGCTTACGAACAGGGTGTTTCCACAGCAAAAATTCTCCCCCGTTCCATTTACAGTGAGACGGAGTCAAACGCCGGACATTGGCAACATCAGATATTCGCCCATTGCATTCCCTCCAAAGAGGGCAGTAACTCCCAATATTTACGAGCAAATGCTTGGCAAAGTCCATTCTCGTGAACAGACAGACAGTACTTGCAGGCCACTCTCCAAAATGGTAGATTTTGGCTTCAGGGCACCCAAAGGTTTGCCCTTCTCGAGCAAAAGTAATTCTAGTGAGAAAGTTGACAGAGCAGTTTCATTGAGTGGTCAGTTTGTCCGTCCAAAATTGCCAACAACAAAGAGCAACTCTCCTGGGCTCACTGTAAGTGGCTACTTTCAGCCTACTGGATCTGTCTTTAGACCAAGCCAGCCGTCATCTAGTGGTACCACTTTACATTCCTCACCTGGTTCAGACAGTTCTTTGAAGACCGTGTTGAGCTCGTCAGCTTCGTCACAGTCGGCGCCATTTTCCAGTTATGTCACAAAACCTTTGCCTGGGATCACTGTAGCTGCAAGAGGCAGCCCGACAGATTATCCAGCGATGGCATTTCAAGTGAAACCCAACAGTCCCTCATACAAAGCGGGCACCCATGGACGGTCTGTAGTTAGCTCCAGCCAATTCGGAGAAAGTACCCCAGTTTCAAGATTTCCATTTCAACACCAGAGTATTGCAAGCACACCATCGGGGCCACTTAATACTGTTACAACCCCACAACTGGCCAGTTCAGATTCCACGGCCTCTGCTGTTGGTCAGCAGCCATCATGGTCTCCGGGTTCTATGCCCGCGCCCATGGCACCTCTAACAGTGTCGGTGGCCACTCATAACATTCCTCCATTTCACCAGTCTGTAAAGGCTACTCCTGTTCTGTCACCAAGCACCAAAGGGAAGCAGAAGCCTATTGCGCCCCTTCTGTCGCCCCCACCGATGGCTGCATCGCCCACCGGGGACAAGTCAGCTGGACGAGTGCTGCTCGCAAAGAAGCCTGCGCCCCTTTCAGGGTTAGTAATGGGACATTCAAATGCAAAGCAAGGGCCCTTCTCACCTGGAGGTTTGGGGTATTATAACGTAAACCCTGCGTCACTTGGTGTACACCAGGGCATTATTCCTGCACCCTTGCAAAGCCCTGGAAAGCCAGTCAACCAAGGACCTTCAATCAGACCACACCCTGTGTCACCAAAACCAACTACCCAGCCAGTTTCACCAAGATTTGCTGCATCTAACACCTCCCAGTTGTCCCCTAAAGGAGTGAAAATATTGGCAAAACCATGTTATCCAAACGACAACCATGCTGCTCCAACTTCTTCGCCAAGAACTCTACCTTCCAGTGATGGAGATCACACAGGTGCTATTAATACCAACAGACAGGCCATGAAAGCTGAACAGAACCAGGCTGTGGATGCACAGACAACCCAGCTGTGTCTAGAGGATAGTGCATCTAAAGGTCAAGTGTACGTCAAACCTATACTGAAAAGATTCATAGCTGACGGAATGGAAGAGTAAGTGTTCGTTCTCAGAGTTTATTTAAACTCAGGGTTCAGTTATTTGAAAAAATCCAGAATAGACTGTTAATCTCAAATTACCTGGATTTGATTTGAAGGTGAAGTAACAAAAAGTCCAAATGATTCTCCAGCATGACAACAATTTGGCTGGCGTCGTGTTTTCACAAGAAGCTTGTGGCCAGATGTTTTTTTTTGTGTCCTTAACCGAATACCCGAAGTTATCCCATCTCAATCTTAAAAGTTTTGGTGATATGAATCCAGTCTTTAAAATTCTTAATCCATTTGCAGATTCTAGTAGAGAATTCAAGAATGTGGATTTCTTGGAAAAATCCAAATCCAGAAGACACTATAAGGAATTCTTCATTTATGCACGTCTCTGCTAGTTGGTTTTTCTAAAGTGGCCACTTCTCTCGCCAAAGGTCACTCTTTATCAACCTCCTTGCCATGGTTCTCTCACATCCGGGAGACGAGTTGGAGAAACCCTATTTCCTTCTACGAGAGATTTGATTTCCTGGCCTAACGTGATTTTTTGTGAACCATTCAGTTGAAAGCTTCTAAGCGATACTTTTCCTGTGATGCTGTTTATCATGCTTTTTCGAGTCATTAAATTAGGGTTAAGCAGTAGAGCATACCCATTACCGCCATGAGACCGAAATTAAGATAACAAGATTTCATTGTTCGTTTTCTTAGGGTTCTATCGAAGGTCAATTTTGAGAGGCAATTTGCTGAACTTCCTGAATACTCTCCTCAGCAACGCCCCGGCACACGGGAGAGCCATAACAGAGGTTCCATCAACAGGCGAGGTCTTGTAACAACGGGTCGACCACACCCATCGGATGAAAGCGGACAGACGTCTGAGAGTAGTTTAGGTTGTGATGCAAGCCGTGCGGTGGGAATCAGAGCAAGTAGTATGCCGAGTCTTGAAGCGCTGGCAGAGGTGGCCTCTTTGGAACATGGCAATGGACTGACAGAGGTCCTTAAAGATGACAAAGGGGATTCACGCCAGCAAGAACCAAGCAGTCCTACAATGTCCGCTCACAAGAAGCCTATAGACCAGCGACGGGGAGTGGTGCTTCAGCTTTTCCAGGAACACGGGTATTTCCCGTCTGATGGCGTCACATCAGTGTTTCAACAGCGCTTTTCAGATCTGTTCCCAACGAAAGCAGCTTTGCAATTGAAGATTCGTGAGGTTAGGCAGAAGATTATGCATAATGGCAGGGTTAACAAGTAAGACGCTTTTGTCGTAGTTAAAGAGCATTCCATTCGCCAAGCTTGCATTCAATATGGCCGGCTTACAATGGAAACCATGATATTCGTGGAGTTTATATAAGAAAAAAAGTACAGTTATATTTAAACGCTGTTAAAAGGAGCTAAGTCGTGGCATAAATATCTTGAACATTTAAAACGTTATTTTGTCAAGTTTCTCGATTGGAAACCATTTTGACATCGATCGTCCATCCTTAGCGATTTACTCGTTTACAGGTTACTGAAATCTCTTGGGTTGTTCTTTTCTACCCAAGTGATGTTTTGAGATTTCCTTCTGTGTCAAAGAACGTTTTGAACGCTGCAAAATAGCGAAAAAGCCCGGTGAAGTTAAAATAAATCGTGCCGATAAAATGTTACTAAAATGTAAGTTTTTTCTTTATTCCATTGCTCGACGAAAAGATTCCGTTAAAGTGAAAGAAAAGCCCAGTTAAAATCCGTTTGCAAGAAGGTTTTGCAATGGTACTTAGAGAGTAACCTTCAAATTCAATTTCCTACACATGTTTAGTTCGCGTAGCACATTTCTATGATTTTCTTAAAACTTGTTTCAGATAACTTTTATTCTAGTAACTGGAAGAGAGTAGACTCGAAGTTCTCACAATTTGCTAGTTGAGTGATGAAATTTATCTTATGTTAAAACTTTCTCTCAAGGGAGACAAGAATGTTACTAATCATTTTGCTTCTTGTTGTCGAGAGTTTACTCTTCGACATTCCTTTAGGGCGTGTAAAATTTTTCATTACATGTAGAGATATGCGCACAAATTCTCCATTTTTCTTGATAATTTGACTTTATGCGCGATAACTAGGTCACGAAATTTCCGAAAACCGACGATTTTCCAGAAGGTGATGTAACGCGTGTTTCATAGATGTCCCAAATACTCTTCGTGCCCGACAATTTGGGTAATTTTGAAGAACGCACGCACGTTTACGAGTAAAGTTCCGCTGTAATTTTTCCGGTCATCGGTTCGTCCGGACCAGAGTAGTCTGACAAATACAACAGAGCTCTGGAAACAATTTTAGGCGGCATGGCATTATAAAGCAGCGCATTTTTGTAAAGTAGAATATAGGGGTGTTGGGAATCTAAACATAAGAACAAACATTTAAGTCTTGAAAGATAATGGAGACCTTTAGTTTCGAGGACGACTACGACGACGAGATTTAAGTAAGTTTTTTCGCGTATGCTCAAAAAAAGATATCCCGGAAAGCTTTGTTGAACTTATATTTACCAGAAGAGTTGGCGCGGTTATTTTTCTAGAAGTGGTTAAGCCCTGCCGATCCCAAAATGATAAATGATAACTTGTTTCCGCTCGTAGTAGAATGACGATGACTCAGAGATCGCGTATTCCCGCCAAAATATGACGCTGGTTCAAAACCTCGTACTCGTAGTAGTACGAAAGGTCTTTAGTTAACTTGGAAATATCAGACTTTCATCAAAGTGTTGCGTGAGGGTTTATAGTGTATATAAGAGTTTCTTAACAGACTCTTTTAAAAACTCGAGTTTGCTTTTTGGTTTATAAGCAGTATTTATAAAAAAAGGTAATACTTATGTTGTTTTGTTTTGTAAGTTATTTGAAAAGAGCAACCCCGCCATATCGATTCGTGTTTTATAGCTGTCGTGGAGTTCAATTCCGACGATTAGGTCCGAACGAGCGGCTTGAGATGTCATCGGAAAACTTCGGCAAAGTACGAGATTGTGTCGGACGCGTTTCGATGTGTGCGCGGCAGTTTAATAGTAGTAGAGCACCTATTTATTGAGTTAACGTTTCTGTATAGTTGTAAGATAGTATTGAGAAGGGTATAGAGTGATTTTATGGCAGCTGTACATATCATGGTTTAAGTCTTTTTAACGTTGATAGTGTAGAGCTTAAGGATAATATCCATTTCAAACCTGAGTGGCAGTGAAAAAAAGCCGTAGGGGAATTTATTGATACAGGTGTTTAAGGAGTTATACTTTTAAAACAAATACTAGGGAGCTTATGAAGACGCCCACAATAGCAACGACAACATCATGAAAAGAACAATAAAAAGGAGAACTCTCTACGTGCATCACACGTTTTTTGTCGTCCAAATGTAACGCAACTTAACCTAATGTCAACTTAGTGTGACGTCCTATACGCAACACATCTCCCATAATGCACCTTATTTGGTCCCCCAAAAAAAAAAAAAAAAAAAAAATTTGCGCAAGCATTGTTTTCAGTTTCTCTTGGGACGGCTGTAATAACCAGGAGAAGTGAAAAACAAAATTTTAGGGGGGCAGGTAAGGTGCATTATGGGAGATGTGCACAAGCCGTATAGGAATTAGAGGACGTGGCCGCGGGACGACGAATTTTCCTTTCTTCGTTCTAACGTGGGTGCATTTTTTTTAAGAATTTAACTTGTGCAAAATTCGTCTTCATTTAACAAACTGATGAAACCTGAAAGGAAGCGAATTATCTTTATCAGTGATGTTTTAACTGCCTTTGTCGTGGTGGTCTTGAAAGCTCTCTACTATTCTACTCGCGATGACGTCTTTGGTTTGCTTGGTCACGTATCTTGGTTTTTCCAAACGTAATAGTGTCATTTTGGGAAACCGTGCCACTTTGTACTTCACTGCCGTGGTTTGAATAATTGAGGTACTTGAAGTCTTTTTTGCAAACACTTAATAGGAATTCAACCGTTGACACTCATTCTTATTGCGTGACTAACCTCACCTTACGCGCAAATCATCTAAGATGGCGTGACCAAGCCGTAATTCGAGGTTTCAGAAAAGAGTGATAAGGGCATCTAAATTTTTTATTGGACAATCGCTGCTTTCGAGTCTCCAAAAAATAAAATGTAATCAACTTAGTGACTTTAGAAGAAAGCTTTGTATTTGCATTTTAATACTAAGTTACTTCTCTAGTCTTGGGTGTGTATAAGAAACTAGGGGAATCTCGCATTTCCAGGTGATTCGCTCTTGTGCCAAACTGGTTTGTAAGCATTATTTATCTTTCTATGCTTTATATACTCTATTGCTTTTTTACTTTTTTTTCTACCGTTTTATATCCGAGTACACTGACTTTTGAACTTTGTTTGTGTTTTTTGTGGCTAAATTTAGGAACAACAAACCCTTTTTACCTCGTCAAGTTTTCTATGCACAAGAGCAACTCACCTTATTGTGACCATAGCAACTTATACGTTAAACTGAAGCAGCTTTGTCTTTCCTTGTAAAAAGTACACAAGTCAAGAGATCATAATAGAACAGAGGGAGCCTATCTGAGTTTAAAAAGGTATTTTTAGAAACTATGCCGACCATGCGAAAAGAGTTTCCGGTAAAATGATTGACTCCCGGAACCGGGAGACGTTTTTGAAATGAAGATATCCCGGCCAACGCCCTATACTCCCTGTGTGTCTTAGTGATCTCTTGACAGGTGAAGGACAAAATTAGGGTACGAAAAAATGTTTCAAGATGTCTAAAGTAGTGGGATGTTTTCTTCGTTAAACCTGAATATACGTCAGTTTTATGTCAAATTGCACTTTGAGGCTCTGGGGACTGTTCTGGGAACACTTTCACTTCTTTTATTGGCTATTAAGAAGTTGCGCAGGAAACTGGGGACAGTTTTAACCAAACAGTCCCATAATGCAATTGGACATAATACCTTCCAAGTCCCAATAGGCCACTTGCACGATGACGTCATTTTACTACTACGACCAGAATCCTTCAGGGTTTTGTTTTCTTGTGCGAATTAGGGCTTTTGTCATTTAATGCTCCCTGGGATTACCAGATATAAATGTGAAACGAAAAAGATAAAGTATTCTGGTCGTAGTAGTAAAATGACGGCGTCGTACAAATGGCCTTTTGGTCAGAAGAAAGCAAAGGAGATTTATACTTGATGATAGAGTTTTACCCAGCAAAATAATTAGAAAGAAAATACAGACGTCGTGTTTGTTTGAGTTTAGGCTTCGCGTTTTTTTTTTCTTTTAGTCCCTGAAGAAGGTTTGTCTTTCAAACCGAAATATTGGCAAATTTGTTTGAATATATATAATTTTTGTTTTATTCTTCTGTTTACTCCTTCATCCCCTTGCCGTAAGGATCAGTTTGCCGTTTTAGATTTTCTACAAGTTATTATTGTACTGATCCAGGTCTAAAACTGGGAGATTCGGCACCACTCAACGGTTTGTCGCTGTGGACTTGCTGACATTATATATTTTGTTAAATTTTAATTCGGGTTTCTTTTTCTTGTCTTGAAATTTTTTTCTGGGATAATTTTCTCTATTATTTTTAGAGCATCCAGGCATCGAAATGAGGAAAAAAAAAATGATTAACCTGAATTTTCGTTTTTTTAAAAGTTTTCACATCTGAATTCAATTCTGGCACTAACCTGGATTATCTTAACCCGGCCCCGGCTTCAGTACCCTGGGTGCCAGAGACTTTTCTTACTAGGTTTACGGTTTCTATCAAGTCTTTATAGTGACCCGCGCGAAAAGCGGAGTTTTTCTCGCGGCTTCGGCCTTCGGCCAACACCGAAAATTCCCGCCGCAAGCGAGAAAAATCCCTGGTACCCAGGGTACGGCTTCAGTTGTTCAAAAGGTGGATATAGCACTATCCATTAAATACCGTATTTATTCGATTAAGCGCCCAACCTCGAATTAGCGCCCACCTCGAATAAGCGCCCCTCCTAAAGGCAGAAAAAGTTAGTAAGCGCCCAGCATCGAATAAGCGCCCACCCCACCACACCTCCCTCCCACTCCCACTCAAACTCAAATTAGCGACCACCCCTAAAATTGAATAAGTACTAATAAGAGACTTCCCCGAGGAGTTTTCTTCAAAGTATGTTACAGGAACCTTGCTTTGTTACATCTTCGCGTTCTGTTATTACCATTTATTGTTTTGTTGGAAAATACACATACTACACTTGCTGAAAATGTTGAAAATTTAATAAGCGCCCAGCCTCGAATAAGCGCCCACTCTCAAGGTCCAAAAATTTAATAAGCGCCCAGGGCGGTTAATCGAATAAATACGGTAAATCTCTATTCTTAGGATAGTGCAATTAGTTTCCCTTATACTTATCCACTGGATAGTGATTTATTTGGTGGATAGCGCTATCCAACGCTTCAACAATCGGTTAGGGTTTGTGTCATACTTTTTGTGCAGTGTGAACACCAATATTCGGCCCGTCGCGGAAGTAAACAATTAGGAGCGAGGCCTGGAACCCACCGAGACGGAAGTAAATATTCAGGAGTGAGGACTAGAACTTAGTGCACCAATCCCTCTCGGTCAACCGCGCCGGCACGATAACGACTTGCGTCGCCCGACCATTTATCGGATAGCTTTTCGTCATCATGGCATCACGAAAAGCTATCCGTAGCCAATTAGATATCACCCTCCCCGCGTTTTAAGGTGACCCGATCCTATTTGTGCGTTGGTTATGATTTTGAGTCGGGTTTTTCGGCAGGAATGATTTAAACGATTTCTATGATTTTTTGCAACCCTAATAAAGAATGGTCGAACTGTAAGAAAATGTTATTTATTTTCGTATAGGAATAAAAACATTTGAGATATCGGCATATGTCCAAAATCTCGTTTTTACAAAAAATGCCAATTACTTCGAAACCCTAGGACAGATTTTTCTCTAACTTCGGCAAATAAGCCGCAGAGCTCTGTAGTTTTATATCTGCTGGTTTGAAGTCAATCGTGACCGTAGAACTCGCTGCACAAATAGCTGGTCAAATTTAACCTTAAAATGCAACGCTAACACATTTGTGAAAGTTGACACACAAACAGAGGACAACTGTCGACGGACTATCTCCGGTCCGCAATGGTATTCTTGCCCAAAAGCTTCCGTTGCAAGAAATTGAGTAATCAGAAACCTGCGGATACAGTTCGCAATACAAGAAGAACAACTTTATGCTGAATGCGGGGGAAGATGAAATAACTTCTATTTATCAAAGTTACTGGGTATTTTCCCTTCTCTTTTCGCAAAAAATCTCAACAAAGCACAAAATAACATCTACGCAAATCTCTTACCAGTTTTTAGCACTGAAGGTTACCGTCTTGAGAAGAAATAAAGCCACCAACTCCAGCTGCAGTTTTCAGTTGCAACGAAAACCCTTGTATTAGGTAATTTATTCAAGTTTGAAAGATTTGCCATCACATTCGCACGGGCATTTTGCCGTTGGGGATAATGAAAAGAATAAGACGATTGTCATATTTTCTTCATCTTTATCCCCAAGTGGCAAACGTCCCGTGCGAATGTGATGTCAAGTCGAAAAACTTTGAATAAATTACCAAGTACAAGGGCTTTCAGTGCAGCTGAAAAATGGACGGTTAGAAGTAATGGAGTTGGTGGATTTACTCACTCCTCACTGAACGGAATCCTGCGACGCAAAAAAACTCTTGAGAGTTTTTCGTAGATAATATAATTTGCCTCGTTAAGATAGTTCTCGAAAAGAGGGGGACAAATAGAAAGTAAGTTTGATAAACAAAAATAATTTTCTCTCGCCCCGCATTCAGAATAAAGTTGTTCTTCTTGCATTGCGGACTGTATTCACTGCTTGTTTCTGATTACTCAGTTTCTTGCAACTAAAGCTTTGGGCAAGAATACCCTTACTTGTGGATAGGAGATAGTCCGGCGGTAGTTTCCCTCTATTCGGGCGTCAATTTTCACAAATGAGTAGCGTTGCATTTTAAGGCTAAATTTGACCATAGTGCAGCGAGTTCTACAATCACGATTGACTTCAAACTTGCAGATATAAAACTAAAGAGCTCCGAGGCTTTTTGCCGAAGTTAGAGAAAAATCTGTCTTAGGGTTTCGAAATTATTGACATTTTTTGTGAAAACGAGATTTTAAACATGTGCCTATATCTCAAACGCTTTCATACCTACAAGAAAATAAATAACATTTTCTTAAAGTTCGACCATTCTTTATTAAGGATAGCAAACATCATGGAAATCGGTTAAATCATTCCTGCCGCAAAACGCGATTCAAAAACTGGCATAACCAACGCGCATATAAATAGGTTCAGGCCACCTTAAATCGAATAATTTACACATGCCCCGCCTCTTTTAGTGCCAGGAGTCTAAAAATGCGAAACAGACAACTATTGATAAAAATGAATAAAGAGGTCGTACGGATGTTAAGTGATCTTAGGTTTAACAAAGAGCTTAACATGATTGGAATCAGTCTGTG